GGCGTGGGCTCATGAGCAGGCTTGGGCAGGAGAAGTTAATTATGGGCTGGGCTTGGGTGGCTGGGATTGGGCTTTAGGCGGGCTCGGGCTCGGGCTCGGGCTCGGCTCTGGCAAAAGATTTTGTATATGGGCTGAGCCCGAATTAAGGCTCCAGCCCGCCCAACCCGCCCGAGTTGCAGCCCTAACCAAACATAGCATAATCATAATATGAATGTAATTTAAAATTTCTGATATAATTCCCTCAAAATAAATAAATAAATATGATTAAGCTCCTTAAGATAAGTTTAGTCTCTGAAACAACTGTTATGTTTCTTAAGACTGGACAACTGAGGGAAAAAAAATTTAAATAAGACTGGACAACAATGTTTTGTTAAGGAAAAAGGAAAGTGAAATGGGAAAAAGTTAAGTTGACTAGCTACTTTGAAGTTAGACACCTCCACAAGATTTCATGTCTAAATTACTCTTTGACTTCTTTAATCACAACAAATTCTAATATAAGAAGGATGGAGTTTGTTGCAAAACAATCTCCTATTACTTAGAATATACAATGTTAACAGAAGATCAATTCAAAAGGAGAGAAAAAACAAAGACTAATTAGTACTGCTTCTGTCTTAAAAAAGATGTTCTGTTGTGTGTGAATTATGGTTTCCTAAACAGGACATCTTTTTTGAGACAGAGAGAGTAAATCAGAAACTAATTCGACTACCAAACCTATCATGCCCATTACATGTTACAATCAACAACTCCATATTATTTCGTGTTAATTGTTTGATGTATTTTGGTTGACCATTTGGACTTCTAACGGTCTAATTGAGATCAGATCACTCTGTAGATTTGTTTTTACCTAATGACGGGAGGATCCAATAACAACCCAGACCCGAACACCACTTAGGTGAGTGCTTAACGTAATACCGAATAAAAAATCGTGCCTACCCTGACACCATGTGTAACAAGTCAAGCGCATGCCGTTCGAATTAAAAGCTTATGCTATTGGAGTGATACTACATACTCGTCCTTACAAGTCCAAAATCCTCTTCATCCGAATCAAACGTGGAATAAGAGCCTCTAACATTATATCCCATTTCTTTGCTATTTCAAGGTTCACATCACTTTCACTCTATTTTCATTTTTAGAAAAAAGAAAACAACATAGGATCGGCTTGTTTTTATTTTCTGATAACAGTTTTTTAAGTTTTGTACAAAAATCTATTTTGTTTGACGGTTTCTGAAATTTTTATTCTTATTTTTTTTCATGGTACCGACTTTTATAATCTCTAAAAATAATTTTATGTTTTCTAAATTCTTAAAACTACAAATTTTTTTTGAGTGAAAAACCAAGCAAATCAATAGTTTCAAAAGTTTTTCTTTTTGTCATATAATTATGAAAATGAGTTACTCAATCACTTAATAGCAACAAAAAATCTCATATTAAATATCCAATATATATAATGCTCCTACAATTCACAAGGGTGTGTTTTTTTTTTCTTTCTTTTTTTTCTTTTTTTTTCGTTTTTTTTTTTTTTTTTGTCATATACTCCGTACTTAATATTTAAAAATGACTTTACTCATGATTAACAAAAAATTTCATAGTATTACCCAAATATATATATATATATACACACACACACACACACACAAACGCACAAAGTTCTTAAATAAGGGCGCAAATCGTCTCCATGGCACCTCTCACTGGAGGGTATCCATAGCAGATCCAATGGCTGGGATGAAGCCAACTCAGCCACAATTGCCTTGTCATTACCTTGTCACCGCCTACTAAGCGCTAACTCAGCACTAAAGTATGAAAGTTACTTTCTTTTACTATGTACGAATATTGTATACAAAATTGATACCATCTACGAATACGGTATACAAAATGAACTTATATGTGGGACCACATATTATTTTTTACTTTTCATCTTCTCTTCTCTTCTCCCTTCTCTGGTTCGTCCCCTCCCTTATCTCTTCTCTGTTTCATCTCCTCCCTTCTCTCTGGTTCATAGGCTTCGTCTTCCGGAATCGTATTTTACTTCTTTCTTACGTTCATCTTCTCTTCGTCTCCTCCATTCTCTCTGGTTCGTCTTCTCCCTTTTCTCTGGTTTAGAGACCCTTTCTTACTTTCATCTTCTCTTCTCTTCTCTTCGTCTCCTCCATTCTCTCTGGTTCGTCTTCTCCCTTCTCTCTGGTTTAGAGACCGTATCGTATTTTCCTTTCAGCGTCTTCCCTTTGTTTTGTTTAATACCAGTTCATGGATTAAATTGAGCACAGCAACGAGTCGTGCCAAAATAATGTCTGCACAATAATTTGTAAATCAAATTAAAAAAATATACAATAGCGAATAAGCTCGATTTAGTGATGATTATTAATAAAATTAGGTATTATTAATTTTTTTATTTTTTATTTTTTATTAATTGTATTCAAATAAATAATTTTTTTTATGATATTGGTGGTCACAGTCTTTTAACCTATTAAGAGTATCTTATTATCACAAAAGTCTAACTTCTTATCATTTTATTTAAATCATTTAGTTATACAATGTGTTTTAATTTATTACATAATTTTTCATTGGAGTTAAATGAAGTATTGGGAGAAATTAAAATTATAATGACTCATGGATTTTAATCATAGAGTTATCTTAATATTACCATTACACTTATCATATTTGTGAACGTATTTTGGAATTTCAATCCTAAAACAACATTTATTTTGGAAAGCAAATAAATGACCGATGTTTTAACAACATAACATTTTACAAATAGGCATCAACAATTTAATATATAAACCATCACATCTTTTACCTAACATCTTCACATGATTTTAAGTGATAGAGTAATATAATACATATCCATATATTCATATACTTTTCCAACATGTAGCACTACTTATATGAAAATGTCATACAAAATATATCCTAACATATTTCAAGTGAATCTCATATAGGAAAATTATTTAAAATGAGAAGCAAATAAATGATACATCTTTTGAACATAACAACATAACATTTTATAAATAAGTGTCAACAGTTTAATATATAAATCATCACATCTTTTACCTAACATCTTCATATGATTTTATGTGATAAAGTAATAAAATACATATTCACATATTCATACATTTTTCTAACATGTGACACCACTTATATGAATGTGTCATACAAAATATATCCTAACATACTTCAAATGAATCTCATATAAGAAAATCATTTAAAATTAAAAACAAATAAATGACACATCTTTTATACATAACAGCATAACTTTTTACAAACTGGTGTCAACAATTTGATATATAAGCCATTACATCTTTTACCTAACATTTCCACATAATTTTATGTAATAGAGTAATATAATATATATCCACACATTCATACACTTTTCCAAAATGTGGTACCACTTATATGAACATGTCATACAAAATATATCATAACATACTTCAAGTTAACATTATATAGGAAAATTATTTAAAATGGGAAATAAATAAATAACACATCTTTTATACATAACAACATAACTTTTTACAAACATATGTCAACAGCTAAATACATAAATCATCACATCTTTTACCTAACATCTTCACTTGATTTTAAGTGATAGAGTAATATAATGCATATCCACACATTCATACACTTTTTTAACATGTGGCATCACTTATATGAATATGTCATACAAAATATATCCTAACATACTTCAACTGAACAACATAATTTTTCACAAACAAGTGTCATTATTTTAATTAATAAACCATCACATCTTTTTACTAACATTTCCACACAAATTTTACTGATAAAGTAATATGATGCATATACAAACATTCATAAACTTTTCCAACATGTAGCACCACTTATATGAACATATCATACAAAATAAATCCTAACGTACTTCAACTGAATAATATAATGTTTACAAAAAAACTAACAACAGTTCAATACATTAATCATCACATTAATCATCACATTTTAATAAATAGAGTAATATCATAGATATGTACAAATTCATAACATTTTTTTAACATTGGCACTACTTACTACTATAACAAAATTGGACATTCCAAATCAATTTCAATGAAAAGCGCAATTAACTTAATTTCAATGTAACAGTAGAGATATCTCCACTAGAAAATATATTAAGATTATTTCTAAATTTATTATCCACATATTATTATAACTAAATTTGACATTCCAAATAAATTCCAATGCAACATTAAAATTATAAATTAAATATGCAACATTAAAATTATAAATTAAATTAAATTAATTTCAATACAACAGTATAGATATCTCCACTGAAAAACATATTATCTCTCAATTCCTAAAACCCTTAAAAAGATAGTACAATGCGAGGACAGTACATAAGGAATGTGTAATTTATGTAAAATAAATTAGACAGATATGAAAGCTAATATAATTAATTAATCGATTTATTTTGGGTAAAAAATGATACTGTAATATATATAGTAAAAGAGAAAGGATTTCAATTCAAATATTCTAAATCACAAATGAACACTTATAACAGATAAATAAAACCAGACTCTGCAAATTTAACATACCAATTTTATGAAAATGCAGATAAACAAACAAAATTACAAATATTGTATAGTAGACTTCTCCTTCTCGCCGAAATGTATGGTGGACTTGTACTTCGCACCGAAATGTATGATGGAATTCTGCTTCCTACCGGAATGTATGGTGCTTCTACTTTGAATCGGAGCTTCTTTGAAAATGGACAATGTTTTGCTTGTTTGATGAGGTTGTTGTCGGAATTTACGAAGCTTGGTCTTTAGTCAGATCAGATACTTCAATTTCAAAGGGAGAGAGACCTAGAGGGAAATAATGAAATATCAAGGATATAGAATAAAATTTTGGGGTAAATCACCTTTATGTTTTGGTGGAAATTTGAATTTCATTTTGTATAAATTCTTGTACAGATATATTCGTATGTATATAAATAAATTTTTTTTTTTTTACTGAAAGGCCATATCACCAATTTATCCCTCCAAGGACAGCCTCCGGTGAGAGGTGACTTGGAGGGGATTTTTTCCCCTTAAATATGGCTAGTACGTTACACACGCACATACACACCCATACTCAAAGCGTTCTCTCTCTCTCTCTCTTTCTAGTCTCTGCAACCGACACAAAGAAATGGCCGCCGCAGCGCCACCACCACCGCCATCCGCAGCCCCCTTTCCCAACACCACATTGCCAGAAAACCAGCCGGTCGGCAACCCAATCTTCGCCCGAATCCGGCTGGCCACCAAGTCCGACGTCCCACACATCCATAAGCTCATCCACCAGATGGCCGTCTTCGAGCGTCTTACCCACCTCTTCTCGGGCACCGAAGCCTCCCTCTCCGCCACCCTTTTCGACAACAACGCCGCCCCTCCCTTCCACTCCTTCACCATCTTCCTCCTCGAAGTCTCACCCACCCCCTTCCCTCCCACCCCCACCAATCCATTCTTCACCCCCATCCATAAAACCCTAAATTTCGACCTCCCAATTCATGACCCAGAATCTGATTCCTTCAAATCAAACCCTAATGATGAGATTGTTGTGGCTGGGTTTGTTTTGTTTTTCCCCAATTACTCAACATTCTTGGCCAAACCGGGATTGTATGTGGAAGATTTGTTCGTGAGGGAGTGTTATAGGAGGAAAGGGTTTGGGAAAATGCTGTTGTCGGCGGTGGCGACTCAGGCGGCGAAGATGGGGTACGGGAGGGTGGAGTGGGTGGTGCTCGATTGGAATGTGAATGCAATCAAGTTCTACGAAGAAATGGGGGCTCAGATCCACCAGGAGTGGAGGATTTGTAGGTTGACTGGTGAGGCTCTGCAGGCTTATGCTAATCATTAATTGACAAATTAGGGTTTTGGGTTGGCCTCTCTTTGAGAAATTAGGGTTTTGTTTGTAGTTGATTTTGGGTGCTGCAGATGCGAGGGATTAGGGTTAGGGTTTTGTGGGAAATGCGAGGACTGTGCTCATTTCTAGTTTTTTTTCACATGTACCCTGCCTGCATTTTACTAAAATCAACAAGTCCTATCCAAGAAATAAAAAAATAGTATGTTTATGTTTTAAATATTTATCTCTCGCTTGTTTATCTGTAGTGTTAGGATTAGATTATTATAATTTTTTATAACTAACTTTAAGAAATTTACTCATGCATTCATTTATTCATATTTGTGTGACATGAACGAATTTAAATTAAAAAGGATAATAGTCTTTGGTAGGATTAGTAGAGTCAAGAGACATTGATAATAAAATAGTTATTATCAATTTATTTTGCTTTCAAACGAGATATGCCAATATAATAATTAATCCTAAATCAATTTATTTTGGTTAGAAAAACTATTATCGCATCATTTGATTAATCAGTGAAATTATAAGAAAAATGATATAAGAAAAATGATAATCACCGGGATTGAGTAGCTTGTCTGAGAATGATTAATTTAATAAATGTCATGCATCTTAAATAATTTATGAATTTTATTTTTGATGTCACTTAACTCGCTGGTTAAATTGTGATATAGAAAAAAAAAAAAAAAAAAAAAAAAAAAAAAAAAAAAAAAAAAAAAAACCTTTGTTAGAAGATTTTGTCCCATCATTTGAAGCGTGAGCATATTCATTTTGTTGAATAAAATTGAGATTTTGTTTTTGGTTATAAAAACAAATAGAATTACAAAAGTATTTTAAAGATGTAAATTAAGTAGATACATTAGAATAAATACATTTTCTTCTAGTGAAAATGGAGCTAGAATCATCTCGATTGTTCTAATTGTTTAGGTAAAAAAGTGTGATTTGAGGCAATAGAGTGCATGAACATTCATGAATCATGACATTCAAAAAGTTTTTGCCTTAAAAAAGAGAGATTTTCACGTCTTGTTTTTTCTTCTAATACATTCTTATATGGGTACTGTTTTTATATTTTCTGAATTCTGATAATTATAAATTTTCTGGATTCTAGTAGTATTTAGAAACTATCAACTGCTAAAATTGGAAAACAAACCAGTTGGAGTATGAAAATAGAGTTTTGGAATTGAAATTGGTGAAATTGAAAAAAAAAAATTTAATTCAATTTTGTGAGTTGTTTAACTTGAATTTTGTGAGTTGTTTAACTTGTTTTTCTCCAATTTTACTAATTCCATGCAGCAGGAAAAATAAAATGAAAAAAATAAAAAACTGGACTTTCACCACTTTTGAGTGATTTGGAAAAATAGATGGAATTACCATTTACCCAATACATCATTCGGTTTCAAGAATACATCTTTCCCATTTAAATACACCACAATCCTCCAAATCTTGATACGAAAGAACCTGCAAATCTGATGAATTCTTCTTGAGCACATTTGCAATTATCACTAAAAGAGTTTGGCAAGCATGAACTTCATCCATCTTCTCTGAATCACTAAGATCAACTGAATCATCATCCTTCCAGGGTTGGTAGAATGACCTGCCATATAAAAATATACATAGCAACAGCAATTAGTTCCACAAGAATGGCGTTTCTTTCTTGATCAAGCTACACCATGCAGTTCAATGTTCTTACAGAAAAATTCCAACAGTAATAAGTCATCGCGATTTAGTAAGGAAAATGCTTTTCAAATCGACGAACTAAGCCGAATAACCCAGACAAAAGAAAAGGGACCAATAGATTTAGATGAGTTGACATCATGTGAGACCTGAAGTACTCTTCTAGTTGTAGTCTTGATTTATTTATTTATTTATTATTATTATTATTATTTTTAAAGGACAGAATTAACTCCGAGGAGTCTGCATGAAATTTTACCATCAAGCCTTTGGCTTGAATGGTATCTTTTCAGCCACTCCAAAGGGGAGATTGCGGGTTCAAGCCTCTCTAGAGGCAATAAGCATGCGATTAGTTTACTTAGAATCTCTACCTGGAAAAATAAAAAAAAATAATGTTAATAAGAATATTTTTTAACAACTTTTCCTTGAATAAATAAAACACAAATTTTAGAAAACGATTTTTAGAGTTTTCTATCGTTTAAGCTCATCCAAAACACCCTTCTAAATGACTATTAAAAACATCTCCCAGGACCAAAAGATAATTCTAGCCATTTTGTTTCTCTTGATCAATCCACACTCCCAGCAATAACATAAGTTAGATATGACCACTGCTAGATGATTACCATTAGGTCAATATGAGTAGAAGTGGAAGTTAAGCTCGGTGTAGGAGTAGTAGTGTACCACACTACTAGTCCCGGTAAACTTGTAGGGTCTATTCTAAAATAAGAAATCTCTTGATTACATATTTTGTTTGTTAGAACAGAAAACAGAAATGACATGTAAAATAAATAAATGCTGGAAGAGAATGAATATATTACCATCTCCAAGAAGGATTAGCTTCAGCTGGGCAACGTATCCTTGTCAACAGTGATGCCACAGGATGCTCATGGCCAATCAGGAATTCCGTTCCTAACCAACATGAAGATATATTACCAAAGTTAAAACCCAATAAAAGAAATCACAATTGGAACCGAGATGCCAGAGATTGACAGGAATTTGAAAATTATAAAGCATTCTAAGAGGAAGACAAACGCACAATGTTTGACCATTCATTATCAAACATTGATTCTATAGTCTATTCACGCTTGAGAAAAGAAAGTGGAAAGGCTTAAAATATAAGGAAAGCTTCATAGTGATACCAAAAAAATATTTGTTTTCCTTCCTCAATAACTTTCTCTTCGACCACCCAAAATGATACTAATCATACTACACACCCATAGCCCGTCAACTCCAACTCCAATTCCAATGGATTTAACATTGAAAGGTTCTACAAGAGCATGGGGCTACTATGCTGCTGAATGAGATGTATTTCATAATGCTAACTCATTGACTCAATAAGAGTGGTTCAAACAAGAGGATGCTGAGGGTGAAGTCATTATAATATTCTATCAAACAACATAACCATTGAACATTAAATATAACTCTTTGGGAAATACAACATATAATGAAAAAGATAGCAAGGTAGTCTGTATAACCCTCCTGAAGTAATCAACCAATATTGGTAACAAAAGGTTATCTAGAGGAGGTTAGTGTAGGTTTGCTCATTGGTTGTGGACCTCGCAGTCGGTAACAAGGTTCTGGCAGTACTTGTGGTTGCAACTGGTGTGCTGTCAACAAAGAAGTACGAGGAGAGAGACCAAACAGGTAAAAGCCCAGCTGGTACAAGCCCTCCTTCCCAAAGGGGAGCTCGGGTGTTCGAGCCTCAATGGAGGCATGGGTGTGTGTGTTTGCTTAACCATCCAAACAAAAAAAGTACAAGGAGAGTCGAGAGTTGGGAGGTATACAATATAAGTCATTCAAAACTCAGTCCTCCAAATAAAAATTAGCTCCCTATTTAGGAGTGGCACCATTAGGAGGAACATTTATGGGATGCCGCAATAAATGGAGAAGTAAATGAAACAGAGAGAACCTGCTACATAGGAAGCATCAGAAAAAAGCAGGAGACAAAGTGCAGAGACAACAGATGGAAGCAAGCTGCAGTTAATGCCAAGAAGCTGCTGCAGGTAGAAGATTGTAGTAGCTAATGTCTCTTCACAGCCAAAATCAGTTTTGTTGTTTTCTGCACATCCTTTCTCAATGCTTTCAAGAAAAGATTGCAGTGCTTTCAGGTTTGATCTTTCAGAAAATTGAATGGAGTCCAAATTACTTGAATTGCATGAAAGCCTTCCATGGATTACTGAAGCAGTCAACCAGCGTAAAAGTTTTGATATTAAAGAATCTTCATGTTGCTCATCCTCTGAAAAAATAGTGAAATTCTGAAAAAATTCTTTCGACTGCATCGCACTTTTAGAATCTGACCATAAAGCAGTTGAAATTGCCCAAATAGCAAACTTAGAAAGCTTTCGTGGATCCTGTAAACATATCATCATTTCATTATAAAAAAATAAAAGAAAAAGGAAGACGACGACATTTTGGTACATTCATAAAAGCGAGACAAGAATGAAAAAGGAGTGTGATTCACTAAAACAACGTATTTTATAACAAGTATGTCAACGACATAATCTTATTAAAGCTCCGCTACGTTACAGATGTGACAACAAAATTATATATCATACACACAAGCCATGTTAAGGTATCCAAACAAAAATACTCTGGAACATAATACATTCTCCGTTGCCATTTGACTTAATCTGCTAAAAATATGGAATAGAATGTGATAATCATGTGCAAACGAGCTAAAAACCTACCCTTTTCTTTTATGAGCTAGAAAACCTTAGTTTTTTCTTTCTTCTTTCTAAGATTTTAAGGAATTTGACTTAACTCCAAGCGGCTGAAGACCAGGAACAGTAAGTAATTCAGTTACAGAACAACTCAGATAAAGAAATTATTGTGTAGGTCTTCAAAAGCAATTAGTTCAAGCTTACAGAATCAGCTATAGTTTTACAAACAGCTATGACATGAAAAATGTGTGGCACATTAGATAATAATTGGCCAAGGTTAATTAGTATTTTGCAAATAGAGAAACCTCCACATGACAATCAAATTCCAAGCTATTATCAAATATAACATCTATTTATTATTATCTATTTATTTTGTCAATAAACTAGAATTCCAAAAATACTTCTCAAGGGACTTTCAGGATCCATCTATAATATTCACTTATTAGTATGATATAATTCAACAAATAATTTGTTATGAAATCACTACTAGCAGGTTTCGCTATTTTAGCCAGTTGTAGAATTAGATAGTGCATCTTTTTATCCCAGAGCGGTAATATCGTCTTCTATAAACTTCCAAACCTCTTGTGACTGATTAATTCTCATGAAAATCAAAGATGGTTGGGTTCAATCCTAGCTCGTGCTTAAGAGAGAGAGAGGGAGTATATAACTACCCCCCACTCACCTGTCATAGACACGGCAGATGGATCCACCATGGCTATTATTCATACAGGGTCTGTTTCTCATTCCCACTTATCTGCTCCTGATGTCTATCTTGTTCCAAACCTCTCTCTTATGTTGTGGATGTTGGTGGAAGCAGGGTGGAGTGTCATAACTATTTGGAATGCCAACATAAGGGATTGTAAGGACGTAAAGAATGTGCCAACACTATAGTTTTGCTATTCTCTTTTCCAGGTTCTAGAGCTTATTATTATAATGTGCCAACACTATTGTTTTTCTATTCTCTCTTCCAGGTTCTGCTGCAATTACTAATTAGAAAAGCAATTTTTTTTTTTTTTTTTATTATGCGGTCATGTTTATAGGACATGACTTTTGGAGGTCTACTTCACAATACCTGAAGAGCATCACTGACAAAACTAATACCGATCAAAATGCCACTCGTTAAAAGGTGGGAGAAGAACTAATCCAGAGACAAAATAGAAAAACTCAAATGAGATGGCATGACCATGTGAATTAAAACCGATGACGGGGAGTCTGGGTATGAGAGGAAAAAAAAAAAAAAAAAAGAAGCTCTAGATGAAGGCAATGCAGGGATAAGGCAAGTCCCAAAATACAGGTTTAACCAGTGAGAGAAGTCAAGTTGGCCTATGATTTAACAGGCAGTTAAGAGAACTAATCCAGAGACAAAATAGAAAAACCCAAATGAGATGGCATGACCATGTGAATTAAAACCGATGACTGGGAGTCTGGGTATGAGAGGAAAAAAAAAAAAAGAAGCTCTAGATGAAGGCAATGCAGGGATAAGGCAAGTCCCAAAATACAGGTTTAACCAGTGAGAGAAGTCAAGTTGGCCTATGATTTAACAGGCAGTTAAGAGAACAACAATAATGGTGAAATAATCGGACAGGACTTTTCAGAACTCAGGTTACAGGCAAAAATCCAAAACATTTAAATAACAATTTAAATATATTTTTTATTGATACAAGAACTAACCTCTTTTTATATTACTATTAACAACTGAACATTTATACAAGGATGCCAAAGACATAAAGGAAAAGAAAAAAGTATTCTATTTGCATCATTGAACACAGTTTCCTCCTAAGTGCCAGTTACATAGCAACCCCATATATACAAGCATATAACCAAATGCAGAATAATAATAATAATAATAAAAGTAAAAAAAAAAAAAATCCAGTTCACATTAGATATAAAACACGCACACTGCACAACACATCCGGCAAGTGCACACATAAACAAGCAAGGCACCAATGCACACACAGGAAAAGGAGAGAGAGATACCATGTGAAAAATAGCAACTGGAGGATTGCTCATAAGAACAGCTCTGAGTCCCAATTCTGCTCCGGGATTATATATGGCCTCACCATATACATCGACAGCTTTGTATATATGAAATAAACCGTCAACTGATAGGGTAAAATGTGGCTGGATTATTTTCCTATTTTGTGACATCTTCAATGTTGAAGTCAGTATTTCTAGAATTGAACTAGCCAAAGAAACACTTTCCTTCATCACTTCCATGCCACCAACCAATAGTTTGTATATGTGAGATGAAAGGTCTGAGAGATGCTCAAGGGCATAGTTTTGCAACCACTCTGCAGTGCTTCTGGATGAAATAACATCACTGACTACCTAATTAAAAAAAAATATATGAACAGAGTCAATGGAAAGGCATCTGTTTGCATACACAAATTGAAATCTGTAAGGGGACAGAAAAATAATAATAATAAATAAATAAATAAATAAAAGAGGTCAGCTACTACAACTGGATCAGAGTGCAAACGATCTTTCTATAGAATCAAATAAATGTATTATAAAATATGTATTATATATATAATGCCAACAGTTATGTGGCTACATTAGTATAATCTCCGGCATTAGCTGCATTATCATGGAACTAGTACAATTATCTTGTGCAACTAAAGCATCACGCAATCACAGGAGTAATGGTGGTGGCAGTGATGAAGATGATGCTGATGATGCGGATGAAGAAGATAAAAACGCTACAATTCAATTGCTAGATAGTAGTGAAACTTGCAAAGCAATGAAAATTACCCGAATGTCATTGACTACCTATATTGACCATCAAAATTAATGTTGTTTCAACAGGCTGACCTGCACAGCCACTAGTTTTAACATCATTGGCCATGGATCTTTTCTAACTACCTCAACACGACATCATTATCATTTTCTTTGTCCTTCCAACATCCCTAACTTAATTGACAGTGCTCCTCAAGCACACGCTGATGTAACTAACCATAGACGTTTCATTAACCTGTTGACTATTGACACTAACTCCAACTCTTTCAAGAGCTTTCAAGAGGAGATATCATAAGTAAAAAGACTCTTGAACTAAACTACTGTTTTGTTCTATAATTAGTTTGGCACTTGAGAACTCTATTAGGAATAATGACAACTTAACTTTTTAATTGAATATAGAATCTTTTTTTTTTTTTTTTTTGGAAAAAAAAATACCAAAAGTCCTACTTTTGATTCCAATGATATGTAAGTCCTATCAAGGCTTTGATAAATATTTCCATGTTAGTTCTGAATCTCACAAACATCCACATTTAACCTTTATTTAACCTTTATAATTTGTAATTAGACATTTTCAATTTCTAAAAAGTTGAGCTTTTTTTTTTCCCTAAAAAATACTAATGTCATTTTTAATTTGAAAAACATTTAAATAATTTTCTTATATATTTTTCAAAAACTACTAATTATTTAACCGTTAAAATTATAAAATACCCAAAAAAACCATAGAATAAAAATTAAACATGTTTGAATAGTTAAGCAAAATAAATTATTTTTAGAAAAAACCAATTATTGGACAAAAATTATAACTGCACAATTTTAGTTCTAATCTAATAAGGATATAAATAGAATATTGAGAGGTTTGGAATTTATGCGAAACAAAGTTTCAAAAGTAAACTTGATGGCCTTAACAGATCTTTATAGGGCTTATTGATGTTTAGAAGACACAAATACGAGTTATTGGTATTTTTTCCTTTCTTTAGCATTCACCCAACTGCATTACTAGAAGATGATCCACTGTGCAAATGCTCAACAATGCATATTTCTGTTGATGCCAAAAATGAAGCACTCCACCCCCCAACCCAAAATAAAAATAAAAAATTGGGGAGGGCAAGATACACAAACAGCAAAGGAAAAGAGATCAGAAAAAAATTTACAGCACTAAGTTAACGAAAAACGAAGCAGGAATTAGTTATCACCTCTAGTACCAAACTTAATAGAGTTACTGAAGAACCACTCTGATCTTCGCATTGCTTCCCACAAAAGAATGAGATAACAGCCGATAACCATGAAATTAAACCACAATGTTCAACGAGGTAACAGGCCAGCTTATGTAGTTTCACAGACTTCTTCACTATCTGTAACACAAACCAAGTAAATTGTTGGAAAAATAACCAAAAAGAAATATGCAAAATGCACACAAGCATGTGCACTCAGTACAATACATAAGGGGGTGTGTAGAAAGACAAATCTCTCCAGAAACTTTGTTCCTCGGAGGCGTCTTAGAGGATCTAAGAACAGACAAAATGTAGAGTAAATAATATACGGATAGCAAGACCAACTGATTTTTTTGTTCGAATTTTCTTTTTCCGAGCATAGCAAAATATAAATAAATAAAAAAAAGGAAGAAAAAAAAAAAGTTACAATGAATCAACCAAGCAGGCATCCAAAACCATGAGCAGTTTAGGCATGTAAATTCGACATTCATAGGAGCAAAGTATTTGCATAGGTGCCGCCGCAACCACATGTAGGAACAATCTTAAAGTGTAAAGGTTTCCAATAGCATAATCCATTTAAGCACTTTGCAATCTTAGAAATTTTTAACATCTTTCATGCTTTCTATAAAGAGTTAAATTGAAGCTTTTTATGAATTTCAAACATTTATTATGGCCCACACTGAAGTTTGAAGGATACAATCTTGGAGCCAACATTTTTTTTTTCGGAATTAACATTCAATTACAGCCAAAATAAGAATGAAACATCATTGCGTAGAATTACCTGAAGGATCAGTTGCTTTGATTCGAGATCCGAAAGAGAAGAAGCATAAAAACTCAGCAGGGTCTTGAGAATGGAATTCTTAATGTATATTTGAGCATCCTCCTCTAAATTCAGCCCAGCATATAACAGACGCAGTATCCACAACCTGTCTGTTTTGAAATTAACAGAATTACTCTTGAAAAGATTGTGAAATAAAGGAACACACTGCAAACAAAATCATGAAATACATAAGAATGGGATTAAAACTCGTATAAGCAGCAGAGAGAAAACTAATGATAACCAGTTGACTGAGTGACATTTTAAAAACATGTAAATACTACTTCGCAAAGCACATAGCAGATGTTGAAAGAGAGGGAGAGAGAGAATATACGAAAACTTATATGTTATTGACTGAGTAATACAATAATACAATGGTGTTTATATAGGAGAAGCTACGGGAGTAGGTAAGTGGAGAACAAGTAAACCCTATACATGGTAATTCTATATATGGTACTGAGGGGTAGGTGACAACTGACAACTCATACAATACTAACCGTACACGTGTGACAACTCATACAATACTAACTGTACAACGTGACAACTCATACAATACTGTACAACAGCAGATAAATAAAACAAACATGCACATATCTAAAGCTAAATGATAGATTAAATGACAATATAGAGGGCCAATTGGCCCTATTTTCACAGCTCAATGGGTCCATTCACATCCTTCCCTCTCACATACATTTGGGCTGTGGAAATAGCAACATGCATAAATATAACATAAATGGATTATTTTGGTCATAATAGATATACCTTCATATTCACCCCAGGAGAGCTCACCAAAAGCTTACTTATGGTTGAATAATGATCGTGTGAAGGATCCAGCAATAGCAAAGAAGCCTCTGCAACAAAGATGGCAGTGATTGAAGGAATTCTCTGCCAGGGTTCTTCAATACTGTTTTGCAAATATGTTAACAGAAGCCGAAGTCGCTTTATATCCTTCCTCCTTTGACACTTCTGTAACCAATAGTTTGAAACTTCGATTAAAAGAGAACTTTAGACAGAAATTGAATGCAGAAGCAAAGTTACGAACCACAAGAGATAAACGATAATATTTTACCCAGAACTAAATATGCAAGCTAATAAAACACAGCAACCTTTAAGGTAGGTTATCCTGATACACAACAGTTTACAGAATATGCCCCTTAGCATGGAGAAGGAACAAATAATGAATATGTTTCCTGATTGGATTCCACTTTCAGAGACAAGTGACGACAAAATACCACAATTTGCAAACTGTTGAAAACCCACAATTTGAAGCATCTGATTAAAGTTGATTTACAGCAGTACAACACTATATAAAAATACATTGGCCAGAAACGTAGTCCTTTAAAAATCATTTTTACTATACAATGTCCAGCATAGGTAATACATTCTTGTTTAATTATTTTTCTGATTTCCCTTTTTTCTCTTTTAAAGAGAGGGGATTGAGAAGGAGAATGAGGCAAAGATTCCCAAATATTAACAAAAATTATGCAAATCTAGACTCTAGAATAGGTTTACTGCCATCTCTACATAGTGATTGCCTATCAAGAAAATGCTGCATAAACAGAAAAGAAGAGCTGTATGGTGTTAAATGGGTTTTAAGTTATTAAGAGGGTACATATCCCAAGAACAGAATGTGTCATGCCTTAGTTGTTTGATCTTCAGTGTTGAAGGTTTTAAGTTATTAAGAAGGTACAGTGTTAAATGTTTTAAGTTATTAAGAGGGTACATATCCCAAGAACCGAGTGTGTCATGCCTTAGTTTTTCGATCCTCTTATATTAGGATGTTCCCACTACACATTTACAATTCTACAATTCTTGGTTAAAATCTAGTACGACCCATAGGTGTTTGGTGACAAACAACAATCATCCAGTATTTGTCTATTTGATCCTCAAAACTTACCTAAAATAGATTTGAGCTCTTAGGAAATTCAGTTTTTTACCTGACAAGAGTATTGCTCAGTGAAATAAAGCAACATTTAGTTGAACCATCATTTAGTTACTGTTTCATACATAAATTTTAATTCACCACTACTAATTTAAATGGAAGATGTTTTCCTCATGCAATGTTACAAAAGTTTTATTCACACTATAATCCACAATATAAGTTGTATGTATTTTTTTGGCGCTTTGACGCTTACAAAGAGAGAGAAAGAAAAGAAAAGGAATGATTATTATTTTTATTTTTTATAAGTAAAAGAAAAAGACAGATTTTGGCTTTATAGAACAATATATGGCCTGATCTCAGAGTCTTCATTCTCCTTGTGACCCTTTATATATTTTATTTCAAGTGCATAGTTGTCAAAGACACGTCCAGACCCCAAAAGAGCCCTAGGCTTGTTGAGACTCAGCAATACACTTTCTCCTATGAGAGGTGTAACCCCTTTAGTCCCCTTCAATTAGGCCCACATAAAGCCCTCAATGGAGCTGGCTAACATTTTAGTAGGCTCCAGGTTAAAGAAAAGTATACCTTTATTTTTTACATAATTCAAAACATATATTATTTTCTTTTTCTTTTTTAATGTTCACTGATTGACATGCACTACCATATTATTGCTTACATAACAGATCATATTATTAAATAATATCATATTTGGAGCTTGGGATTCATGAGCTTATGGTTGACTACTTGAATTACAAAAATCTAGTTCTTGATTTGAAATTTTATGACAGTATAATATATATTTAAAATCTATATGATTGTAGTCTTTAATGATTGCACATTAGCATTTTATTTAGTTTACCAAACCGCATATGAAAATTTAAACAATATATTTATATTGAATAACTTAACCTCTAATCAATATGTTAAAAACTTGTTTAGTTAAGATTTTTCACTAGTTTGTGTTGCATATTTTGAATCATTTCAACTGTAAGTCTGTAAGCATATTTGATATATTCTATCACATGCCTTACTTTACTCATGACCGTGCCTTAAATTGCACCTTGTCCTTAAACTCGAGTAGACATGCCATCTTAGAGAACCTTGAGCTTTTTAATAACTAGAGTTAACTGTTTCCACACTGTTACATTCAAGCCTAAAGCTACCTGAACCAGCTTAATGTAGCATAGTAATTAGAATTTAAGATTTTTCACTAGTTTGTGTTGCATATTTTGAATCATTTCAACTGTAAGTCTGTAAGCATATTTGATATATTCTATCACATGCCTTACTTTACTCATGACCGTGCCTTAAATTGCACCTTGCCCTTAAACTCGAGTAGACATGCCATCTTAGAGAACCTTGAGCTTTTTAGTAACTATAGTTAACTGTTTCCACACTGTTACACTCAAGCCTAAAGCTACCTGAACCAGCTTAATGTAGCATAGTAATTAGAATTTAAAGGACTGGGTACAAAGCATTTTTTTTTTAAAAGTGATTGGGCACGGGAGCTTGATCAGGCATAAGCTACGTTACCTAGACTGGGGTACGTGTGTTGGGTGCAGGTATGCATCCAAGCGTCAGACATCAAATCCTCAAAGAGAAGGACACGGGGACAATGCTAAATATTCATATTATCTAATATTTTTATTTAACTTTAAAGAGAAAAATAATTTCTTTATGTTACAGTGTTTAATATAGGCATTTCACTCATTTTGAAGCGATATAATAAAATTGAATCATTCGATATGCTTTTTAGGTGCATGTCCTACCAAAAGTATCGGACTTATATCCCATACCCACCCATGGCCCAGTATAGTGGGTCCGACACGAGAACTTCAACTACTTTTGAAGAGTCCAGATTAACATAGGACACAAGGATAACAAGAAGTGGATTTGCCTAGGGTTGGTTCACTTTTCTGCCTTTTCCTCCCACAATTTAAGGATTGGCTCAAGCGTTTGCCTTTTTTATTTTAAATTTATTAGTTTATCTTCAGCTACAGTATTTATATCATATGATATGGGGATGTCAACATCCATTTAGGTCCACTTAAGTAATCAACTGAAAATTAGATTACGACTGTACATATATTTTAATAATTTTTAGAATTCCCTCATCAATATCTTGCCTTGTCTCTCTGAAGAGCAAGTTGATGACCTTGACGAACCTTATGGTGGATGACTTTCTTCTCCCTTCTCTTCTTCTCTCAATACCTGCACCTCTTCCTTTCTCTTTCTTCACTATCTCTTATCCTTATCCTCTTTATGTCTGTTCTTCTCCTACACCTTCTCTTTCTCCGTTTAGACTGCTTGGGAGTTTAGATAGCATGTTGCACTTTCTTTGGCTAACAAAATGTGCACTGCAATTAGGTAAGATCCTTTATACAGCACATTTTATCACCTTCACCTCTATCTAGCTATCCCCATACCTTCATCCGGGACAAGCCTTCATTTCTTTGAGTTTAAGATTTTCCATTGGTTATTTAGACACACTTTTTATGGCATGTAATGGATATTGAAGTTTGTTCTTTAATGAAGTTTCTAATATTTTAAGTTTGCTTTTTAAATAATTTCTACATTAATAGACTCAAGGTGCAACTTCATTATTTCTTTGAATTGATTAATGGCTTTAACATGTTTAATTGATTGGGACTTTAGGGGTGGCAATTCGTATTCCTTTCGTGTCAAAATAAAGGTATTTTGTTATATTGGTAAACCCGAACACGACCCGTTTATTGAACGAGTCAGATAATCTTGACATGAACATGATATGTTTATTAAATACATAACACGACACGATATGTTTAACTTGTTTAATAAATCGGTCGTATAACATGTAACACAACACAACGCGTTTAACAATCTTCTTATTCTTCTTTTTTTCAAATATAAGATGTAAATAAAAACAAAAAATAAAATATTGAATTAAAAATTATAGAACAAATTTTCATGTTATTATATATATTTTTTGATAAGTAATAGTTTCATCATAGTACCATACTAACTCGTTTGTGTTACTATTATAAAGGTTTAAAAAATCTCGGGTGATCCAGGTGACCTGACATGATTGCAACAAGATTAATGAAATGGGCCATATTGGGTTAAATAGATCGAGCACCCAAACCCAAACATGATCCGAATAAATAAATGAGTTAATTGTGTAACACGAGTAAGGTCAACCCAAACCCTTTTTCCACACTAATTTTGTGTTGAAAGTTTTGAGTCGTGTTGGTGTGTTGTCCCAATTTTTGTCATCCCTAGTACTTCTGGACTCTTCCCATAAAGTTCCCCACCTATTTTACACACACTTTGGTAAATTGAGGTTACATCATTCCACATTCTTATATGAGTTACAGAAAACAATAGAAAAGAATAAACATATATATATATATCTATATATATATAATAGAAACATAAAATATACACAACTTGTCCCACAATTAGCAGTTGTGATAGAAGACAGCATTACCTCGGTCGCAATTTTAAATCTTCCAAGAGCCTCATAACCTAATTTCCTCATCCCATCGTCAGGTGAAGATATGCTAACAAATGCAACTGCAAGCAAGCCCAAACTAGCAAACTCCACGGGTTCAATGTAACCCATGGATAAACTATGGATTGACAATTGCAAGATGAAAACAGGATCATATTTTTGCACCTTCTCAGAATTTGCAAAATGCTTCTGCATATCAAGGAAATTATTGAGAATTATGCCTAAGCCACAAAAGGCCCAAAAAACTGCAGCTTATCGAAAGAGGGACTACCCCAGCAGTAGTTAGAAATATACCTCGAGCATGTTCTCAGAATTATCGTGCTGAAGCTTGTTAGAGCATGACGCTCCATCAGAAAAAGTTCTATCATATGGAAAATATAGCACAGTTGCCGCACACAATTTGGGGTCAATAGGAAGGTTTTCTCTAAATTGACTTCTTCTGAAATCCTCAACTGCTTTATTGTCAGTGATATTATCAGCTGAGGCCTGCTCCTGTTCCTTCCTGATTCTTAAAGCAGCACTTCCCCAGAGATAGTCAAATTCAGCAATACTTCCAGAGTTTGATTCATTAGTGGATTCAATCTCATGCATGAGAGTTAATATCTCCAAATCAATTTCATTGAGTGTTGCACCATAAGAAGATAAAAGCAAAAAAAGGAGTTCTTTGGAATTTATGCCGTTGTCTTTTTCAGAACCAAAGTCCCACTGATTAGCCCTGAAGCGGAAGAGTATTCTAAGTAACTTAATAACTTCCATCTGTTTCATGTACCCAGATGTTTGAGGGTTGATCTTGCCATCAAGTACATTATGGTCAGTAAAAGGAATGACGAGTGATCTCAGAATGCTGGACATAGGCCTAAAAATCACACCAGCCTGAGAACAACCAGATGACTTGAAGGCAGATTGTATAGAAGATGCAAACTGAGAGTGCTCAACCAGCAACTGCAGAAGTATAATGCATGAGAATTTCCCTTCAGATAGCAAAGCAAGCATACTTTGAAGAACTTTCAGTGTTGCAGGATCCTCAAACCTGTGTAGAAAAGATGATTTTGCAAGTTGTTCAAGGAATGGAAGAGATAGTAATTGGGTAAGACCACTGTGCATCTCCATAGTTAATTCAGAAACATTCCTCAAAATGAAGAGTTCCAAAATTCTGAACAAGAAATAATTTGTGCCCTTCACTTCTTCAGAATTATCAGAAATTAAAGGGAATTTCTTGACTATCAGTTGCCAAGTATGCACCAAAGTGTTTATAAATCGAATTCTTGACAAGTTCTCCTTACTAGATCCCTCTTCAGAAGCTATCTCCTTCATGTAACCATCTCCATTCCTTAGCAGAGACTGAATCTGATCACACTTAGGAAATAATAGCATCCTACAAAAGGTCACCTTTGCAACAACTCTATTCATTATGTTTAAGGACTCATTAAGTGAGGAAGCATCAATTGCATTGGCATCACAATCCAGCAGATTATCGGGTGCCTCATCACATGGACAAACAGAATCGAACAGCTTCAATCGCTTTTTCAATTTAGAATCCCGCTTTAAGGCAAGGCAATACTTCAACATATGTATTGCTTTTCCAAGAAGACTTTCATTGACAAGATTGAGAATATCCTCTGAAGATGATGGCAATGATTCACCATATTCTACCTGAAACATGTCTTGAGAGACATAAGTCTTCCAGTTAACAAAACCATCCAAGATGATCCTCATATAAAATGAAGGAATACTTCTAAAATGCTTGTGAAAGTGTTCTCCAAATTTCAAGAAACTTGAATTTAAATATGACAAAGCAACAGGCAGAAGTAGCATCAAATCCTCGTCAGAAAGAGTATAGTTACTGGTATTTTCCATCACATTATCCTTACAAAGCATATCTTTCTTCACAATATCAGAAAATAATTGCCCAAACACTGACAGATGCAGGGGACTCACTTCAGTAAGAAGAAACAATAATTTAGCTTTGGTCATGCTTATCCTGTGGATGCAATGAGAAAGCACTATTAAAGGAGTCCTTGATATCACTCTTGACATGGCCATACCAAAAGGAATACACTGATTCTGCATAAATTTATGTATGCGTACAACATTAACAGCTTGCAGCAAACATAAATCCGCAACATTTAGCTCAGAACGTGTGGCAATCTCAACTACTCGAAAATAAATTCTCTCAAGCAAATCAACATCAGAATTGTTTTCTTCTATTCCCCAAAATCTTTTTGTACATGGCTGCTGCAAATAATCTGATAACATTTGAAAAGCACCACCAGCAATACATAATCCCACAGAGAGAGCAGAATTTTTGAAAGATTCCGAAATTGTCAACTCATTCAGTTCAATTCTACAAAATATCCAATGCACTAATTCAAGCAGCTCAAAGGGGGATATGAAACGGATCAAAGTATATAAAGCATATAATGTTGGTACAAGAGACACCAGATCTTTAGTCTTTATGCAAAGATCAAACTTCTCCCTGAATGTCACAATCAGCTTCTGAACCAGAGCTTTGAAAGCCTTTACAATCTGTTTGTTTGCACAGTCATCAACTATAAAGATAGCCCCTTGGCCACTGAAAAAAGATAACAAGTGGTTGGAAGTTGTTGTCAACAAATTCAGAACATGATAATTCATTGTATGAACTTCCTGTCTGGACAAATGAAGAAAATTCCCCAAACTGTTCTCAAAGATTCCATCTGTCAATTTCTCACTACAGACCAGAGGGCTTTCAAGTGATGTTGTCACTGCAGGATGTGAGAAAATAGTTTCAACCACTTCGTGGATGTGGTGCAATGACAAAGCAGCCTCAATAATTGTTGAATGACCAGAAGCAGGTTTTACAACAAAAAGTTGGGCCAACATGCGCTCTATGAGGATGAAGCATGTTCCATAAAGCTGTTCCATTTCACCAAATGGTTTAATATTACAAGGTGACTGTATCTGATAGACCCAGAATAACACGAGGCGGAAAGACAAAACTAAGTGATCAGATGTCAACTCATTTAATTTAGCCAAAAGCAAGTCTTGTAGCTTTGACACCAACAAACAGGGACTACCAATGCTTACAATTGCCGGAAATAACACATAGAACGGCACCTGCTTCAGAAAAAGACTAAAAGCAGCCGAAGCAGACTCTGCTGCGTCAATTTCAATGTTACAAATTAGTCCTTCATGAGACGAAGACTGGAAAGGCTGTTTTGGGGAATCATATTTGCCTTCATCATGGATCATAGCAACAACCATTTCCAGACAATTAAAGAACATTTCAGGCCATAACTTGGCAACATCACCAAGAAGACTTTGTTCAAGAGAAAATATGGATGACAAGAATGATAGAGGAACTCCAACCAAGTGTTGTGAAACTGATATAACTGATGGGAAATTCTGTAATATCTCAGAAGGCGTGGTACACATCAATGAAAAGGAAAATGCTTTAGTTATTCCAGCCAATTCACCACCATGCCTACTCTTTACAAATTTTTTGACTTCGCCAAGTGTGTTAACAAAAGAATTGTCAGTATGCACTGCTTCTCTAACAACAGAAGCAGTGCTACAACTTTGACGATCTTTAATGTGCTTTGAAAAAAGTAACAAGTTCTTCAATGGCCTCCACTCACATAAATCCTCAGAAACATCAACTAAAGATAAACGGTCTTCAAGTCTCTCAGATAATAACAGGTCAATCAAGGAAGCAAGCAATCCAGCTTCTACCTATCAGAATTAAGTTCTTTTATTATTTATGCATAACCTATGAACATCTTGCAATAAAGAGCTAATTTAAAATTTGTTTACCTGAGTTTGCAAGAGATATCTTATTGTGTTGCATACGTATAATGATATCATTGATTTCTCAGGTAATGTGAAGATCCCAGATTCAGAACTGAGCAACCTTAGACACTTCTCTAGGACACAAATGACGAGAGGGCTGAAATCAGGAGATACAACTGCCAGATAATGATATAAGTATCAGTACCAATAACCATATCACTTAACCAAAAATAGAGTCAGCATTACGTCAAATAACCAAAGTCTTCCTGGAAAAAGGAACCAAAATTTTCTTCCCCTGGAATTTTAAACTAAGATGTTAAGAGTTGTCAATATAGAGTGAGGAAATCAGAATAAAACAACACAGCTTTTGCAGTGAAAATAGAACAATAAGAAAGAGAAGAAATCTAATATTAACAACACAGAATTCGTAAGCGAAAATAGAACAATAACTTATTTATTACTGAATAGATATAACTTCTTGACCATATTAACAAAATTAAGTCAAGTCAACCCGTGAATTTGTTATCATGCATGCAAATGAATATCTATCATTTCACGATATATGTATAAGAAATTGATCAAGAGGTCATTAATATAGTGATCGCTACTCAAATAGAAAAATGTAACAAAGTCCCCTCAGTTAAAGATTAAAAGACTCAATTTTCAGGTTCTTTATGATTTTAATCATTTTTATAAATCTTAAGAGTGATCAAGCCAGAAGTTCTGCTGATTTTAGTTTGATAAAATTCATATAAGTTTTATCAAACTCCCAATAGAACCTAGCGAGTGATAAAAATACTAAGTTATAATTTTCTAGAAAACAGAAATATTATTATCACTTCAACAGAAATGTTTCAAAATTTTAACACCAAATACCGCAAAAAAATATATAATACAAATGTTCCAAAGAGCAGATACTCAGATAATTTTGTACACCCAAATAATATTAACGTTGTAAAAAGTAGAAGGGGAGAAAAAAAAAAAAAAAGGGAGTAATTACCCATTTCCTACTATCTGATGTTGAGTGGTGGTTATTTCACGCCCTTAGAATGCCTTTGCTTGATAAAGAAGATTTTGTGGATGGTGCTTGCTGCCAATAAATGTGTAGACTAGAGGGTAAGTAGTGCAAAGCCGGGGGTTGAAAGAAGGCCTATGACAAAGTGCCTTTGCTTGATTAAGGTTTCTTGCTTTATATGTCAGGAAGGATGTGATTTAGGAAAAAGTGGGTAGATGGATCGAGGCATGTATTTCTGCGTTAGATTTATGGGTACACATTAATTAGTGTCCGATTTGAACCAATTCAAATCACACGGTTTGGATCAGTTTCGTGAACTAATGGTTCCAGAGTAATACTCAGATCAATTCAGTTCACAGTTTAGATGTCACAAAATCCAAACCAAAAAACTTTTACATCAATATATATATATATTTGCTTTCATTTTATTAGTTGATAAATTTTGTTAACCATATTCTTACATCACACTAAATTAAGGTTATATATGACTTTTTTCTATAATCTTCCATATTAATAAAATAGTATTGTAGTTCTTGTTAGCATTTACATTATGGCATGGAGCAGTAACACTCGGAGGAGCTCTAGGATTACACCCGTCTTTGGCACCTACTGTGCCTTTATTGCATTTAGTGTAGTGGGATATTTTTTGGTTTGTAGTCCAGATAAGAACTTAAAACATTAATTGATAAAAAATTAATCTGCTAAATGTCTCTTTTTCAATATACAATCAAACTATTAGAGCTAAAAATTTACTTTAGGAGGCGACATGCGATGCACCGAAAGGATCATATTGCACGGTTATAAAGTATAAACCTACTACCACTAGCTTATGCAAGAAATGACAATAAATTTCGTTGTTTTTTAACTTAATATTAGATGTGGATCATATGTTTAGATTTTAAATGATTATAAAACTGAAATGGACCTGAACTTTTAATATAATGGAGGTTCAAAGACAATGATCATGCTAAAGATTAAGAAAAATTTATCATGAACATGGTCAATGTAAAACAATAAAAGTAACAAATAATTTCATCTCAAAGATCAATTAAATAACAATTTTCTTATAATTTGATCACTAAAATGGTTCAATATTCACGCCCGACTCTACACTTTTGCAATCCACTTGAAAAGGAATAATTATCTTGTAGAGTCTAAGTTTTTTTTAAAAAAAATAAAATAGTGGAGTGAGTGTTCTTTCGAAGGATAATTATGTCATTTCTAAATAAAAACAAAAGAAAAACAATTGAAATGAAAGAGTACCAAAGTGTAATGTAAATATCACCTTCCTAATAAGCACTAAATTGTAATTTTTCCAAAGACCGGAAGAAATTTTGAGGGTGCAACTTTATAACTTTTGAGAAACTTATATATCAAAGTAGAATGAAAAGAAAATTGAGGGGACAATATTATGGTTCTGTCATAGACTGAGAGAGAGAGAGACGACGGTTATGGGGGCCTGGGGGCAAGCATATATAGAGGAGCTTTACCAAAAATTTATAGGGAGAATTCTTAAAATTTTAGCAAATTCTATTTATCTGATATAAAAAAATAAAAAGATTTCAGTGGGTGCAAATGCACCCCACTCAGCCTATGTTCATCCCCTAACCTGAGACACTAAGCGTTACCAAAAAAAGGTATCCTAACTAACAAAAGGCTATTATTACAAAGAACTGAATTTAATTAAAGAAGGAAATGAATACCTGTTGTTAGAACTATGTAATGGAACTGAAATATCAATTACCTTTTACGCCTTTTAATTTGTTGGAATGACTCCTCAAAAGATCCCAATATTTGAATAAGTTGTTTCCCACTGTGGAAACAGAATCACATAAAAATGAAACAACGGGTGGAGACAGATTCTGATACACTTCAACGCCTTGGTCTGCAACAAAAATGTTGCCAGTGGAATAGCCAGGCAGAAATAAGAACCATGCACCAATTTCCCATGGGTTCTTGTCAAATGCACCAGTACTTGACATGGCTGCCCGTGCCAAAACATGGGCTTGATCCTTTATGTCTCTAATAGGTGAATACATGAGCAAATTAATAAATGGATGCAGATGCTTGTACATTAGTGGTGGGATTCTGGTCGGAAACCGGCAGTTAGGAAACCACCCAATGTGTTCTGTGAGGAAAGACAACAGAGATTGCTGCAGAATAGTCGGTGATGATAAAGGATTGCTGGGGAGAACTTTAAAGAAATCGAAGGATCCCTCTAACACATCAGGCATAGTCCGCTGCACAACAAGACAACAATAACCATTATGAGAAAAGAAAAAGGAGAGTTTAAAATGACCATGTAACATTTTAATGTCATCAAAGTCCGTAGGAATCATTAGTATATTTTATGAATGCGAAAAATATTTGGGAAAAGAGAGAGGAAGAGAGGATAATTGGAGGTGCTCACTTGGCACTGCAGTAAAAAATCAATGGCTACTAGCAATGTATAAGACTTGAGAGGCAAATTTGTGAAATCATATGTACTGCAAGATAGTAAAGCCCATACATCAAAGGCAGTGAATAACGGAACTGACCTGTAAACAGCTAAGTGAAGAACTGAATCTCATATTTACATAAAATTGGTTTCAGACTACCTTTTCTGAGATACCATGAAAGGAAAGAACATGTGGGAGCTTCTAATTGACCAAATGAGTGAGAAACTAACAGTAAGGACAGAGTTTGGACTGTATGCCATTTCCATCTGGCATCCAGCCAAGTATATGACATGGCAACCTAGGGAACACAGAATAATCACAATGCCAAAAGAAATTATCCTACCTGAAATTAAAACCAAGATATATGAGATAACCAACAAAATTGAATAATCAAGTAACAAGGGCATGGACAAAGGTGTAATGTCTAGAGCATCCTCATGTACACCTCTCAACGAAAAGGAAGGAGTTCCTCTCGGGGTTGTGAGAGTTTTATTTTCTTCTTGTTGGTTAAGTTTTGCAAGAAATTCTAAATGACAAACTAAGTGAGAAAATAACATTGACGAAATTTGGAATGTATGTCATTTCCATCTGGCATCCAAGCAAGTATATGGCAAGGCAATCCCTGGAACATAGTTTAACCGAAAAGAAATTATCCTGCCTGAAAATAAACCAACACATGGGTTTTATTATTTTTTTTTTTTTGGTAGGTAATAACATTGAATTTTCAAGCAACTGGGACATGGGTTTACATTTACTCGTTGTTGGTTAGGATTTTCTGTCCTCAGTGTTTGAGGGGTCTGCATATAGATTTTTCTGTGGGTTTGTATGTCCTTTTTTCGGAGTGTTTTTAGAGCTTCATTGAATATCCACAAACTAAAATATGAGGACACACACTATTATTGAGTTAAGACCCATACACGATCAAATAACTTCGAGGTGAGCTTTCCTGTGTCACTATTGCTAAGGTAATAAATTAAATGCCCTAGAAATCAGAAAGGACATATGATCCTTTTATTCCCATCTAAAACTCTAACGGATCTCAATTATTCCAAAGAAAATGGTGGAAGCAAAACATTATCCAAGGCAACGCTAGATAAACTCAACTTACTCACCGAAATCGACATGACTACACAGATCTTAAACATGTTCAATGCATAGAAATGACATTTGCTTATCTCCATTTAAAATTGAACAATTGTATGTTTTCCACAACAACGCCTAAATATCCTCAAGACAGGAGATAATTTTTACAGCTGACATTTAAAATGCAAAAGACCCAGAGTGCCAACTGATTTAAAATGCAAAAGACCCAGAGTGCCAACTTGAACAAAAGAGTCTATTAATATGGAGACCTAATTTTTTTTTAGAAGCCACACAATATTCTCTTAAAAGAATAAATATGCTGAAACATGAAACTTGGATACCTATCTGAACAGAAATGCATCCTACAAGAAAATGACATTAGTTTTTTTTTAAAATAATAATAATAACTGACCATGTTTCAAGGTCCATATGATAAAAAAATAAAAATAAAAAATTAAATTGGCTATTACATTAATTAAGTAATATAACATCAGCTTTATATGATTATTTAAGCTTAGAGTCGAAATGTTGAAACTAAGACATGGTTAAAGAAAGTACAACAAATGTTAGCCAACTTAGCTGATTATCACCTGGAAGATATAAAAACATGAGTTTTTCCTTCTATTTTCTCTCCTGTCCTGAAATTATGCATTATTGCATTTGTCTTTTTTAGATGTAAATTAACATGTTCACGAAACCTTGATAACTATAGTAGCCACACCATCCAGATTTTGACAATTAGCTGAATCTAAAAACATCCACAAGCAAATTTTCTTCGACAATTGACTTTGAATATTCTATAATATCTAACAAGATTTAGAAAATTGGAACTTACATGATAGAATTTAAGAGTGTCAAGTAACTTAGAGTGAAAGAATGTTTCTAAATCCTTTAATGCCAAACCAGGAATAGAGCACCAGTGCGAACCCCAAATTTTTATAATTGCCTTCACACAATCATCCGCATCATCCAATTCAACCACATTATGAGTACCAAGAACTTCACCACTGTACCCCTGCTTTGCATTGTCTGGATTTGAACTAATCCCGCTTACAAGAATATCCAAGCCCTCATTCATAGAATCAGTTTTTAATTTCTTCATATTAATCAAATCATGCTCAAGTGGAATTTCTGCATCTGCTTTTCTCTTTAAACCTGACTCAAGACTCTTGTAGTGACTATTGAGCGCAGAAAGCAATGAAAATAGAACTTGAGGATCAGGAAGCGAAGTTCGGACTTCAGTCTGAATATTGTGCTTTAGAGACACCAACATCTGCGTTGTTTGACTGTTGGAACAAGATCTACTGTTTATAGCAAAAATGAAAGAGTCCAGTAACTTCAGAACCTCAAAAACAAACCTTAGAGTTCCATGTTTTACAAGAGAATCAGAGTGAAGCAACCCTTTATTGATTACCAATCGGGTGAATGGACGAGGACCTAAGCATTTTATAACACTCTGCACATCTGGGCTGTTAAAGGAGGCCTTGTCATGAAGCTGAGAATCAAGGAAACCAAAAGAAAGGCCAGTGCCCACTGAGGAAACCAAGTTGGCAGCCAGCGAAATGGCAGCAAACCTGCAAGCACTTCAGTCATAACACATAAAAGAAAATTATTAAAAAAGAAAACGCAGACACAGAAATAAAAAGAAACCAACCAGGCTGGCGATGCATGATCTTCAACATTGTAAGGAAACTCATCCATATATGCTGAACCAAGTGATGGCCTCCCTTTAACAATGGCCAAAAGCAGGTCATTGTGGTAGTCAATATCTGTTGCTTTTAGCTTCTTCATGACACCCAAGAGCCGCTTTGGATTCCCTCTCAATGGATTAGGTTGTCTCTTCAAATCTGGCATCAACCCATTTGATGGGTCGGTACAAACCATAACTAGAACATTGTGTGCAATCTCTGCTGCAAGCCCACCATTTTCCCTCCCAGAAATGTTAACCAACTGATCAAGAGTAACACGCCCAAAGAGTACACTCCGAAGACCTGGGTGTACCAATGACTCTGGCGTGAGAATCCTATCACGCAAGGTGGACAGAACATAAACAACCGTGTCATCATCGTCATTCCCAAGCCCACAAAGAACACCAGAATACATTTCCTTCTGCTGCAGAACCCATCTAAGCAATCCTGGCTTCCCGATTTCCAAAAATGACATTGCAAACTCAACAAATGATATTCTTGTAGAATGCTTCCTCTTCATCTCAATTTGCTTTTGTCTATACTCCGCAAGCTTAGGAAGGAGTTTGAAATCAAATTTATTAGCAACTTCTGAAGCCAAACCCGAACCACGTCTAATTATAGAAGCTAACAACAAGAGTGCAGCATTCTGGCGCTTCGCTTCTTTACTTTTCAATTCCTTATCAACATCAATCAACTTTTCTTCAATGATCACACGAGCAAATTTGTCAAGTGCCCTGCTAATAGCGCCCCCATCCAAATTGTCTGGTTTGTATTTCCCATCGGGATGACTGAAAATAGCTGAAATTAAAGAAAATATATACGACAACCCGGGTTTCCCCTGTCGAATCTTCCAAGCTTGTAGAAGCTCCGAAAAATTCAATGAAGTATGTACATATTCCCGGAGTAATTCAACTCCAGTACCACCTCTAAGCAACTTGATAAACTCCTTTGAAGCATGTGAACATAACTTAAGTTCAAATGAAGTAATATTACGCAATAGTTCTTTCAATTTAGCTTCGTGGGACACTTTATCTACAAACATAGGAAGAATCTCCTCTCTCTCATACCCGGCATCATCACCATCTTCCATGGCTGCCATTAATCAGAGAAGAAAACACACAGTGCATCACTCCCAAACACAAATTAAAACATCTCAAATTTATATGCACATAATTAAAACATCAAATTTAAATGTATATGTGTGTGAATATAGATCGGGTTTATCGATTACGAAAAAGAAAGAAAACGAAGAACTATCCAAGTTTCAAAACGTGAATTAGTTTTATGTTTGAGAGAGAGATTACTAACCGACCGAGAAGCCCGAGACAGTAGTGATAGATACTGTGGGCACGAAAAATTCGGTGATTGATAAACCCTAAACCCACACAGCACAGCGATGACGACGACGACGACGTTTGAGGAGGTTTTCGGTCGAGAGAGGAAGAGCCTGGTGGGCTTTACTCGAATTGCCAAGATAGGTTGACAACAATGACGGAGGCGGGAAAAAAATGGGTGGGCCGATATTACCTTTTGATTGGGCCAGACTCAAACTTGATTGTGCTAATTCCAGAACCAGTGTTGATTCTATTTGATGGACTTTGTGTATTGGGTTTAGGTCTGGAATAAGAGGGGTTGGGTACAATTGGGTCTAGTTCTGGAATAAGAGGGCTTGGCTACAATATAAGGCAAGGTGGGTCTTGATGCTGGGCCAACCCAAACAGGTCATCTCTGGATCAAATTGCTCACCCTCCAAGCAAGGATGAGCTCTGAGCCTCTTGACACTAAAATTGTTCTCTAACTCTCTCCATAATGAGTAGGGAAAAACTATATATATATATAAATTGTCCTCTAGGCTTTCTCCATAGATGACCCAAGACTTCCCCAAAATGACGCCGTATGCAATTTGACAAACATATCTAAAATTATTAGACCATTTACTTTAGCAAATCCAATGGCTTGAGATGAAATATGGTGAGCTATTGTACTAATAAAAAAATGAAAAAAAAAAATGGGTTGGGACGGACTTAAATCATATGGCTGGGCTAAATGTTTGAAATATAGATTTTGAATATATGGGCATTTATCAACGGGTCAGTATATTCATATTTGTCTATGTAAAATATATCATGTTTGGCTGATGTAATTCACATACAGAAGCATTTTATTGATTAAAAAAAAAAAAGCATTTTATTGTTCTAGAAGTTTATTCAAATTTAATTTGTTTAATTTTAACTGCCACTCCTCATTACTTGTGCTCTTTTCTCATATACATGTACAGTATGTGTTCAAATTGAGCATCTTTTGCATGATATTAGTGATTACAAGCTCTGTACATATGTCTATAACATTTCATTTGAATGAGCACTATTAATAAATTAAGTGAGGGTTACAATTGATTGGCAATATGTATAGTTTATTTTTTCAAAAAAAGAGGAGTTAAATGAAATTTTTAATCGTATATTTCTAAATGAAGTATTAGAGGAAACTAAAAAAATTTAGCAATCTAAGTATGTGTTCCTTTAGGAAATTAAAGCACAGCTTGTCCTTCCCTTTACTTGCAACTGAGCTAACATTGGTATCATACCAAAAAGTAAACTTGGAATTTAAAATTATCTCCTCATATCCCTACTCGGCATTACAAGTGTAGTGACAAGTAATGTAACATTTCCATGGAGAAATAGCATTTCTTTGTGCATCAAATAAAAATAAGAATAACGCAACACAAGACACAATAAAATTAAACTAACACAAAAAAAGTTGCAACAATTTTGAGGAGACAAAACTGGTCTTCCCTAGGAAACTAAAAAAAAAATCCAATAGCTGCATAAATTTTTTTTTCCAATCTTTGTCATAGAAAAACCTCATATACCAAAATTTTAGTGTTGGATCGCCATATAATGAAAACATTTTCACTTTTACATATTGTATATGTAATTCAGCACTCACACTCAGTCGTCTAAGCTCTACACTCACTATTAAGATTTGATGATTATAAATGAGACGTTTACCTTTTATATAGACCCCATGAATGATAATAAAATACACTTTCTAAAATATTTTAGATATTTACAAACTTTGCAAAAAAAAAATCACCACTCTTTGATAATATTCTATAATATCACAATTTCTATAAACTAAGTGTAGAAACCTCCTCTTCTACACAAATATGAAATACTCTAAAACTCAACTCATGCTGCATTTGTGGTCTTCCTGCAAAATGATAAGACTCAGTTATTTAAAATTGACCCCCAAATTTATCGGGGGTTGATGACAATTTTGATACATTATTATGATATGAGTTATTAAAAAGAGTAATGGACAAAATTAACATTGAAATATGTTTCAAAATGTTTTTATAATATTTTTTAAAATAAATATGTATATAATTAAGCTCTTATTATCTTGATTCATCCTCCTAAAACAATTAAGTTTTAAAGCGTTCACGCTTGACATTTGGTATTCTCAATAAATAAGTCACTTAATTCTAGATGAACCATTGCATTGAAACATAATTTTTTTTGATTCATGTATGGGTTGCACGCATTTATGAAATTCATCTTAAAATGTGTATATATAAGGACCACACTCCCCTCATTCAAACAAAAATCAAATATGGATCCAATATTGATCAAGTTCAATCCCAACTCATACTCAAATTTTCTCAACTTAACGTTCAGAACTTTTCTATTCTAATTTTCATTCATGGGCATTCTGAGAAGAGATCAAGTAAATCAAGTCCATACTTGGTCGAATCATGAGGATAGATCTATCAATGATTCATTTCACTTTGTGGAAAGGCTTCCACTATTTTTAAGAAGCGATTCGGCACCTTCAAGCTATGGTCCGGATTTTTTAAAATTTCTATTTCGGCCATATCATCAGCTTTGGTTGAAGTGGAAGCGATCAAGCTCGGCTTATGCTTGCGCTCGGGCCTTCGGTTAACACTTCAACCATATATGGACTTTAAGCTCTCACATTAATCCTTATAAAAAGGTTCCACAAGAAATATACAACAAAACTCATCACAGAAGCTGTTCTCACTGTGAGCTCGTGTTGAATCATGATGAAACGTGAGCATGACTTCACACTATATTCAAGTCAACAGTTGAGGATAAAGCCCTCTTGACAGATTTATCCATGTAAATATATTTGAAACACGAATATCTTTGTAATTCTGTGACAATGCTTAGAACGGAATAATTGTCACCTCAAAAGAAACAAAACAAAGTTTTCCATTGATGGACAGAGAATCCAAAAGTAATTTCGTGCAAAACCAGAACCCACATAAGCCTGCAGTCTTCTCCAAAAGTTTTGCCAATGTTTCTAGCAAAGGTGCATTACCAATAACATTCAAACAGAAAATGCATCATAAAGGATATTAATTTTGCAACACATCCATAAACGTTGAAAACATTGAAGAAAACGGATCGAGAATATGGTTTCTGGAAACCTACACTACTCTCTGTACCATCTTTTATTCCAAGGAGGTTGGTATTTCACTACTACTTCAGTGACTCTAAAAGATTATGGAAAATGATTGAAAAACTTCAAACTATTAATGATGACTTGCTTATTGTCACACTCTGACATCAATCACAATGGTTTACATGATTTTACTTTCCTAAGAAACAAATATAACTAATTTGCAACCTATACAAGAGAAATATTACTGGAACAGAATCAAAATGTTTCAAGATATACCTTAAGCAAAGATATCCTGCCTCCCTAGTACATAAATGCCTAACAAATTATCAAAAATAACAACAATTTTTAGAAAGAAAAAAAAAATTATTTAAACTATTGAAAGGTCCCCTAATCAAATCTTCAAATATACGACGTGCTTTGATCATAGTGTCATTTACATTATTTCATGTAACATGGTCAGCGAGCAATCTCATCCACCTCTGAGAATCTTCTCCATTATGATGGGATATGTACTTTGTGATACGAGCCTCTCAAAATTGTATGTATATCAGCATAGAATAATAAAAAATTAAAAAATCGCAATTTGAATTCACCTTCTTTGGAAGGTCACCATACCTAGGAAAGCTATGGCACGACAAACTATACCAATGAGGATGAGGATGGATAGACAAAGACTCCAATCATCAAGATTATAGCCGGTTTTCAGAAGTGAACCACAACGAGTTATCAGCCACACTCCATAATACCTGAAGCCAAACCATGATCAGTATGATGAAGTATAAAATTTTGTAATCTTATAATTAAGTATTGTTCACTATATTATTTCCTGAAAACCCTAAAAAAATCATCTGTTAGTTTCATGTATTTGACTCTAGGTATTCATAAAAAAAGATACATATACACACATATAAAGAAAATCCTTCTTTTGGACACTTGAAAAAATGTTACATGGGGAGAAGGTCCATGGCAGAGCTAAATCCTTTATTTCAACCTTTGGAGATTTCAATCCCATGTAGAGGAACAGCATCATTTTATGAACATGAAATTTAGCGTCTGCCAGAAGAACTCTCAAGTAGTCTGGGCAATAAGGTATACCTCAAGCCTCCAGGTTCTGTCAGAACTACTCTCAAATCTGTAAGGTATACAGTATACCTCAAGCTTAGATGTTGTTAAACACTTGCAAAAAAAAGTTCAATGTTCTTCCACAAGTAAATGGGATTAGATAGCACCACTGCACTATATCCGAGATTCAACTATGCTTATATATTGGATTTATATGCCCAAGTTGCTCTTTATCTGCTTGAGCCTATACATTCATCTTGGACTAATTCATGTTTTATAAATTTTATGTGAACTAAACATACTCACAAGTACCAAAAAAGCAATTTATACGAGAATTTCATTTTTCAAGAAATATAGTCTCCAATAACATTTGCTGGAAATATTAGCATGACGGAATTTCCTTGAGGTCAAAATGTTCAAAACATGTGTCTCTTTCCAGAGTCAGCAAAGTTTCTATTAATTGCTTTAGTATGGGGAATTCCTGATGTCCACCAAATTCCAACCAACTTGGATTCACATAAATTCAAATATCAGGAATTTCAGAAAAAAGCAGATCAACAACAATGATTCTGGATATCAAAGGGTTTGGGATTCTCTGAGTTTTCTCTATCGTTTATCAGTTTTTACAAACCCTTTTATGAAGTTCTTAACGTGCTACATGATCGCAGCGTCTAGGGACTTGAACCCAAAAGCCACACATGCATAAATGTGTATGCGCATGTATTGTGCACTAGCCTAGACTTGAAGACAATACCTTGAAGCAAAATGCCAATGACCAAGCTCTCCTAACCACTAAGAAAACTAGTTGTTTTGTTAAAAATGGGAGCGTCATTAAACTAAAGAAATTACACATGGGAATGAAAGCCAATGGGAATCGATAATTCCAAAAACATTCTGGACATTATTTAGAGGATCACATGTTACACTTTTGGGTTGTGATAAGCAATCGGTCCCCTAATCCTAATTTTACCATAGAGGTGCAGCCTATGTGTACAAGTTAATCAGGATTAAAATATGCCAGCCACCTTGGGTAAACAGCCACATCCAGTTTAAATAGTTCCGCCTTTGTAAACTTAATACTTCCCATATATGTATAATATGTGTATAGTATATATATACCTCCTTGTGAGATGAATAAAAGAATCGTAAGATTTTTCTCCCTATTTTTCTCTAGTTTTGACATGGTATCAGAGCCTACACGATTAGGGTCTTTCTGATTTACCTTAGCAGTCACCAATTTGTCTAAACTCTACCCATACCCATACTTACCGTCACTCTAAATACCTAAAATCATACCTGCCGCTGGCTGTACTATGCTTGCCGGTGGCTTGTCTTTCTCTCCGACCGACCAGTTCTTGTCGTCGGCCTTATCTTTGCTTCCAATCGGCTTGGTTTGTCAATTTCTTGCCAAATTAACTACTAATTTCCGCTTCTGCTTATCCGCGAATTATCAATTTGACTTACCCAGGCCCTCTCAGCTTGATCTGAAGGTGGTGGACAATCTGTTTTTGGGTTGACTCGTCACTGACTTCATTCCTCTACTTTTGTGCTATGAGTTTTTTGGGTTTTCTCTACTGCAACTATTCTTCTAATTGAATTTTGCAATCTGTGTTGCTATAATTTTTGGGGTTTACATTCTGTGTTGTTGTGTTCTTTATTCAGTATATATTTATAAATATATATTTTAAGTGCTACAAGTAATGGGTGACTCGAAAGACAAAGGAAATTCAACTTCTACCTCTCCAGTGTCTGTCTGTGTCTGCCTTCAGTTACTGTTCATCAGGACCACTTGTCCTTACAAATTACTCCAGATAAATTAGATGGTTCCAATTTTTCCACTTGGTCCCAAAGTGTGGAGTTATATGTCACAAGTCGAGGGAAATTGGGTTACTTGACTGGTACCAAGGTTAAGCCTAATGAAAAAGATATTGTTGCTTATGCTACTTGGGTGGAGGAGAATGTCATGGTTAAGTCATAGTTGCTCAATTCGATGGCTCCTAGAATTATGGTTGTATTTCTCCACTTGCCCACTGCCCATGATGTTTGGGATGCAGTTGCTCAAACATTTTCTATAGGCAAAGATGCTTCACAGATGTATGAACTCCGTTATGAAGCACATGAAACCCATCAGAATGGTAAGACTTTGACTGAGTATTATGCTGCACTTCAAATTATTTGGCAAGAATTGGATTATCTTTGTCCTTGTTCCATGGAATGTGCAAAGATGCGGTTACAATGAAAAAACAGATTGAAGAGGATCGTTTATATGATTTTTGGGCTGGTTTAGATCCCAATCTAGACCAAATTAAAAGCCAAGTATTGGCTCAGGATCCGCTTCCAAGTATTCAAAATGCTTATGCTTTTGTGTGTCGTGAGGAACTTCGTCAACTAACTATGATGGCGGGAAAATTCAGTGATGGCTCAACTATGAAAGTGGGATCTTCTCCTAAGATTGCATCGGTGATTCCTTCTGCTGGTACCACTATTCCTCTAGGCAGGTACTCTCCCGGTTCTTCTGATTTCAAATCCTCTGATACTCAAAGATGTACCTATTGTAATGGTACTAAATATGTTCAAGAAGCATGCTTTAAGCTACATGGCTATCCAGACTGGTATGTTCAGAAGAAGAATGTCCAGAAAAAGGGAGGCAATTCTGGGTCTCAGGCTCATCATACTTCTGGTGACACTCAAATTGCACCACAACTTTCATTGCCTTCTTCAGTAACCTAACCTTCTCAGCAGGTTTCCCAGGTTGATGCTCCTACCTCTTTGGCTAATACAGGTAATTTGGGATATGCCTCGAGTATTTTTTCTGTTCCTTGTGCTCAATGTTGGATCATTGATTCAGGGGGCTTCCGATCATATGACTAATAACCCAACTCTGTTTGTTTCAAAAATTAATCCTTCTAAGAGTAGTGTTAAAGTTACTAATGGTTTGTCCACACCAGTTTTAGGAGTTGGTTCTGTTCCTTTGTCTTCTTCTATATCTCTTTCTTCTGTTTTACATGTTCCTTCCCTTTCTAATAATTTACTCTCCATAAGTCAAATTACTAAGAATCTAAATTGTTGTGTAACATTTTTCCCAACCATTATGTTTTTTAGAATATTCTTACGAGGGAAACGATTGGTCTTGGTAGGGAGAAAGGAGGCCTGTACTACTTAGATTTGAGTGCTTCACCTGGTTCCAAGGTTGCCTAAGCGTACCAAATTGGAGTAGAGGAATCCAAGGCTAGAGAAGAGATTTGGTTATGGCATTGAAGACTGGGACATCCATCTTTTCCTTATTTGCAACGTTTATTTCCTTCGTTATTCTCTAAAGTTTCTCTTTTAGATTTTCAGTGTGAACATTGCATTTTAGCAAAACACCATCGTGTTTCATTTCCTTTAAGTTTTAATAAAAGTGATGTTCCTTTTGCACTCATTCATACTGATGTTTGGGGTCCTTTTTCGGTTCCTTCTCACACTGGTGCACAATGGTTTGTTTCTTTTATTGATGATTGCACACGAGTATCTTGGGTTTATTTGATGAAGAAAAAAAGTGATGTGACTTCTTTTTTTCCAATTTTCCACCAAATACTTCGTACACAATTTAATGCTTCCATACAGGTGATCAGATCTGATAATGGACGAGAGTATCTCAAACATACTCTTGGTGCCTACTTCCAGCAACATGGCCTTGTTCATCAGACTTCATGTGTCTCTGTCCCTCAACAGAATGGTATAGTTGAGCGTAAAAATCGCCATCTCCTAAAGGTGGCTCGATCTTTATGCTTTACTATGCGTGTTCCCAAAATTTTTTGGGGTGATGCAGTACTCACAGCTGCATTTCTTATAAATCGCATGCCATCCAGTAATCTCCAGTTTCAAACACCTCTTCAAGCCTTGTCTCAATATCATTCTCTTCCTTCCCGTCTTAACATTCCTCTTAAGGTCTTTGGATGTGTTAGTTTTGTCTATGTTGACCGTATCAACGGGAGAAGATGGATCCCTGTGCCTTGAAGTGTATCTTTATGGGTTATTCTGCCACCCATAAAGGATATCGTTGTTTTCATCCTCCTACCCGTAAACTATTTGTTTCTATGGATGTTACCTTCTGTGAGAAAGAAGCCTATTTTTCAGGGGGAGTTAGTGATACTTCTCTTCAGGGGGAGATTGGGAGTCAGTTGGAAGAGAAGTCTTTGTTGGATAAAATACTAACGGTGAAAGGACAGAGATAGTACCTGAAAAGAAGGAGATAGAGTTAAGGGTGTATGTGAAAAGAAAAAAGGCACATATGGATAATCGAAAAGATAATGAGGAAGGCACTCAGACAGGTTCAACAAAGTCCCCTCATGAACCATCGAACCAAACGGCTCCTTCTGAGGATATTCCTGAAGATCATCTGGAGGTAATTCCTACTATTCCTTTTTCTCTTAAGCCTAACATTTCCTTTGAGTCTAACCTTGATATCCCAGCAATCTGTCATTCTAAGATACAAAATGAATCTCAAGTCTTCGTTATCCTGTTCGTCCTAATCGGGGTAAACATCCTAAACGGTTTACTTTTTTATCTGGTAATGTTGTCCAATACCTTATATCTAATCATGTATCATCTCACCATTTGTCTAATTCATATACGGCTTTTGCAAATCAATTGTCCTCTGTGTCCATTCCTAATAGTGTACATGAAGCTCTTGGCAATCCTAAATGGAGAAGTGCTATGACTGAGGAGATGAAATCTCTTCAGAAAAACTCTACTTGGGATATGGTTAAACAAACGAAGGGTAAGAAAATTTTAGGTTGCAAATGGGTGTTCACCATGAAACATAAGGCAGATAGCTCCATTGACAAATATAAGGCCTAACTAGTGGCTAAAGGTTATACACAAACCTGTAGGATTGATTACCAAAAAACCTTTGCACCAGTGGCCAAAATGAACACCATCCGGGTCCTCTTGTCCTTGGCTGCAAATCTAGATTGGCCTCTACGTCAGTTTGATATGAAAAATGTTTTTTCTACATAGAGAGTTCGATGAGGAAGTCTACATGGACCCTCCTCCAGGGTTTACTACTTCTTGTGATGTGGATAAGGTTTGCAAGTTGCAAAAGTCCTTGTACGGAATTAAACAATCTCCAAAGGCATGGTTTGATAGGTTCACACAATCAATTAAAAACTATGGATTTAAATAGACTCAAGCTGATCATATTGTATTCCTCAAGAGAAATAAGGACAAGATTACTACATTAATAGTTTATATGGATGATATGGTGGTTACTGGTAACGACGACAAAGAGGTTAGAAAACTCCAAAATTATTTAGCTAAGGAATTTAAGAGGAAGGATCTGGGTACTCTGAAATATTTTTTGGGTATTGAGGTGGCCAAATCAAAGCATGGTATTTTCCTGTCCCAAAGGAAGTATATCTTGAATTTGTTGACTAAAATAGGGATGCTAGCTTGCAAACCAGCAGATACTCCAATTGAGCAAAACCACAAGTTGGGGGAATATTCAGATCAAGTTCCCATAAAGAAGGAATAGTACCAGAGGCTAGTTGGGAAACTAATCTACTTATCTTATACACACCCTGACATCGCCTATGCGGTTAGTGTGGTGAATCGGTTTATGCATGGACCTAGTGAAGCTCACATGGATGTTGTATATCAGATTCTCAGGTATTTAAAATCTGCTCCTGGTAAAGGTAGCTTATGTGGATGATACGGTGGTTCCTGGTAACGATGACAAAGAGGTTAGAATACTCCATAATTATTTAGCCAAGGAATTTGAAATGAAGAATCTGGGTACTCTAAAAAAAAATTTGGGTATTGAGGTGGCCAGATCAAAGCATGGTATTTTCCTGTCCCAATGGAAGTTTGTCTTGGATTTGTTGACTGAAACAGGGATGCTAGATTGCAAACTAAAAGATACTCTAATTGAGCAAAACCACAAGTTGGGGGAATATTCAGATCAAGTTCCCACAAATAAGGAACGGTACCAGAGGCTAGTTGGGAAACTTATCTACTTATCTCATACACGCCTTGACATCGCCTATACGGTTAGTGTGGTGAGTCGGTTTATGCATGGACCTAGTGAAGCTCACATGGATGATGTTTATCGGATTCTCAGGTATCTAAAATCTGCTCCTGGTAAAGGTTTAATGTTTCTAAACATGGACATCTAGAGGTTGAGGGTTACACTGATGCTGATTAGGTTGGATCAATAACTGATAGAAGATCAACTTCATACATTACTTTCGTTGGTGGAAACCTAGTAACTTGGCGGAGTAAGGAGCAACATGTGGTAGCTAGATCAAGTACAGAAGCAGAATTTAGAGCTATGGCCCATAGGGTTCAAGAACTGTTATGGATGAAGATCTTGATGGGTGAATTGGGTTTCTGTCCCTTGAAACCTATGAGTCTTTATTGTGATAACAAGGCTGCCATTAGCTTTGCACATAACCCAGTTCAACATGATCGTACCAAGCATGTTGAGGTAGATAGACACTATATCAAAGAGAAACTAACATGTGGAATAATTAGCTTGCCTTTTGTAAAGACCAGCTAGCAGATATTTTGACGAAGATGGTATCAAGTAGAAGTTTCAATACTTCAATCGACAAGTTGGGCATGCGAGACATCTATGCACCAACTTGAGGGGGAGTGTTAACGTGATTGATTAGGGTTTACCTTTCATCTATTAGCATAATTAGCGTAATTGATTAGAGCTGACTTTGTAAACTTAATACTTACCATATATGTATAATGTGTGTATAGTATATATACCTCCTTGTGAGAAGAATAAAGAATCGTAAGATTTTTCTCCCTATTTTTCTCTAGTTTTGACATTGCTAATGTCACATTTTACTTCCTACTAACTCCCAAAAATCCAACTCCAATAGTCATGGAAGTTGAAAGAATTTGAACAAAGCTCCCGTAACTTGGATGGGAAGAAAAAAGGAAGGTCACTTAACCAATGGTCCCGAGACTCTCATTTCAAAACCAGAGGGGTTTCTATAAATGGTGATGTGTTTTCAAGAATATAAGTTGTGGTTGGAATGTTGGATGTTACTGCAGAAATTCCAGTTGCGCAAATTGTTTTTGGCACAGCAAGATTTGAAGATACAATCCCAAAACCAGTGGGCTCCCAAAAAATGTTGATGTTATATCAAGAATATAAGTTATGGTTGAAAAGTTGACTCTGGAAATTCCAGACAAACAAATTGCTTCTGAAACAGTAATAAAGTTATTTTTGAAGAAACAAAAACATGTTGCGAATCACCCTCAAAATTAATAAAGTTCCTTGTGGTTCATCAGTCAGATATTACCTTTATTTCCTTGTCATGTTAGATGTGATGTGGAAGTCAAGTTGGAGATTCAACAAGAGAAAACCAATATAAATTGCCCATCCTCGTGTATTCCACCTTTCTAGGGTGGGAAAAGCAAGGACCAAAAAAAAGGGTTGGGATTTGGAAATTCTAATGGTTCAAATGTTAATAATCTGATTATTATTTCAGTGGATTTGCCTGGAATATCAATATCAATCACAATCATAAGGATACTCGCATGCATTGATTCTCCCTTAGATCTGATTAACTGTGCATATCTATTGGTAAAATTTACTGAATCCAGTAGGGTGCACTCTAATCTAGGAGATCTTTTCCTGCATGTGCTTTTTTTCCATTTTCCTTGTATCTCATCTAATTTACTGAATATGTATCTTTATGCTAAAGAGATCTTATCTTTCAAAGTGCCTTTCATATTCGAAGTTTGGCCCGAAGTACAGTCCACAGCAAGGTTATTGGATGTTGGAATTTAGCAATTTTCCCTTGGATGTATTATCCAACAAAAAAGGTGATGGAAATCATCACTGGCTTTTGCTTTGCTTAGATATAGCTTCATCTATGTTGTGCTTTTTTAGCAGGTCCTACATTGCCTAAGCCTCTTCATGACAGTTATCACCTTTCTAGGGGTTGACTTCCAGGTTTTAGTGATTGTGGGCACTAGGCACTGGGCAGAAGGTTTTTAGTTCTCAAATGCAAATGTGAGAGTAGACTCCAGTTGATTAAATTTGAATGATGGTTTTTCAGTGTCTGACCATCCAGCATCTTAAAAGAATAGCATCTTCCACTCCAAATCACATATTCATGAAAAATTCTATTACTATCATACCATGAAACGCATTTTATGTATATTCCTCCCAAACTGCCATGCACAGCTAATAGTGTCAAAAAAAGATGTTCTGTACAAATATTGGTTTTTTGATACATACTTGTTGTCCAAAATAATTTTGTTCCATCGTCCAGAAATGCATGGTTGGAACTTTCAGTAAGAAAGACACAAACTGTCTAAGGTATGGCCTATGAGTCTATGACTATTACGTACCTTTCTGCATTTGCAATCACAAATGCTTCCAAGGCCCATTTTGTGTAGCACAAATTTGCCAGATTCTTCAGAAATTTACTACTTTTTGTCTGAGTTGCAATGAGAGTCAAAACCACAGGAAGAAGAACTGCACACTGCATGAAGTGGAAGTAGCTGGTCAGTCAAAATGAAACTGATTATGTAAACTTAAATTGAAGAAATTCTACAACTCACCAGCTGGGATGGACCAGGTTCAAGGAAGATGGCCAATGCATACGCTATACCAGTAACACAGTACACAAGGCAGACCAGGACAGTGTAATTATCTGTGAATGAAGACCTTGGATTGCTGAAGAAATAGAACATGGAGAGATACACAACAGGCTTAATCACTGTATTGAAATGGTCTACTGTATCCTTGGAAAGAAAATGAGCCAGGCTGCTAATGCCAGAAGCACTCTCTCTCCAACACTGCAACTTGTCCAGAGAAAATGATCTCAAAGCCGCAATTTTGCACAGAAGAGCTGAAATGTGCATATAGATAATTCAAAAAATTAGTTGTATTGACTGTTAGACTAACCCAGTTGTGCAATTATGAGTTCATAATTATCAGTGAGTCAAGTCTATTTTATGCCACAGAAGGATGACGGTTCACCATTCAAATAAGTAACATAGGATTATACAAATCTGGAGGGAAAACTGTAAAGCAATAATTCTCCCTGTAATTCTGATTCATTTATGTTCAAAATACAACAGAGTAAGTTATTTAAAGTTAGCCTAACTCATTTAGGTAAATGAGTGATTATCATACTTACAAACTGCAATGATGGTGTAAGTATAACCAGGTGCCCCAAAGGTTTCATCGCTGCCTTTAGTAAGTGATCCTAAGCAGGCCCCAGCAAGTAATAAGATGAGATAATCTATTACTTGTGTTCTAGCTTCTCGTAATCTCTGCTTAATAACCCTGAAATTTTCGGTCATATAGAAGATCAAAATGCAGCAAATAATTGAACAAAAATCAATTAATCTAAAGACTCCAACAAGAAAAGCCCATCCCCCCATCCCCACCTTCATCTCCCTAGTTGACAACTGAAACAAAATAATAGAGCATTCCTATAATAATATAAAATGATATTTTAATCAACAAAAAGAATCAAACTATTAACCATATCCCTCATTATTGATCCATGTCAGCACTCAACCTCTGTGTTTCAATGGCTTCGGAAAGAAACATAAAATAATACTTAGCATTTTATGTCCTTATAAATTTAGTTTAATATTATGCTAGGCCAGGAAAATTGATATCTTTACTTTGAAATTCCAAAAATGCATCATCAGGATATGTGTGATGAAATGAAATCTTATTGTCAAAACCCCACTATTCTCTCTAATGTGTTTACTCTAGAAAATGAACTGAAGCATGATGGTTTAGCAACTATGCTCTTCACGTTAAGTCACATAAGAAACTTCACTCTGGGTTCTGCAAATTCGTCCAACCTTTTCATATCATAATTGTCCAGAAAATACTCCGAGCATATTGCTTACATCAAGCATTGAAAATGTATAAAAAAATTCAGGAAGAAAAAAAAATGGAAGCATGATATGAAAAAGTTCCGGTACATCAATTTATCATAAGTTTCTCATAACAGAAAAAGAAAACTATTATAAATCTGTAGTTTGCAGGAACTTTCAAAATAAGAACGATAAATATAAAAAGAAATACTTAATGGACAAAGATTCTTAAAAATCTACCTTCCAAGGAAGCATTTGCATTGAAGGAAAACACCTGGAGTTCTCCGGTTCGACAAGTCCTTGGTCCTCAAGAAATTGTGTCGTATGATATCCCGCCGCCTCTCCACATTACACTTCACATCCTGCCATATTTCTCCAGCAAAAGATTGTTCCTCATTGCTAGCGCTAGCTAAATTTACACCCATTGATACCATAGCAAGTCCAACAGAATTCTGTTGCATATCTGGGGGTACTGGATAACCATTATGAAGCATCCATCTGATAGGAAGCTCCTCAAAACCCACACCTGAATCCGTGCTTGGTTTGACTATCCCCTCCAAAACATCAATAAAGTGGTCCGGAGGATTAACGCGCTCTGGGACACTGATGCCAAGGCCTGCAAAGTATTCTTCGACTTTGCTTACCGATCCCTGATACACTACAAGACCACCTTTTGCTAGAAGTATTAAATCATCGAACATCTTGAACAAGGTGTAGCTGGACCAGAAAATTTACCATTACTAAGAGATTGAAGTACACATACAAGCAGCCAAATGAGAAGAAGAAAGAAATTGACATCGTATAACAAGTGTCAAGTTCAATTTTTCTAACTAAGATTATAACCCGACAAATTATTTATCCCCAGAATTAATTGTGCAAGAGTCCACCCTTTCAATATACAAGTAATATATAAAAGATTCCTAGGTGTTGCAATTTGCAATAGCAGAATGCATATCAGTTCACCATATAAAAACCGCAAGGAAGTGACACAAAACTAAGCATGGTATATAAATCATATATATTATCGTTAAAAGATTTGAGAAATTTATCTTTGCCTCCCTGAGGTGAGCCCTAAAACACGGAGACCCACAATACTAAAAATGCAACATTAATACCCCCTGCAGGGAAGTGCTGATTGGAAAGTAAAAAAGCGTTTAAGAAAATGCACAATATTAAACAAGGTGTAGCTGGGCTGCTGGAGAAGAAAACTTACCATTACTAATTAAGAGAGCAAAGTTAAGTGTAGGAGCAACCACAACGAGATGTGGTTTGGGGAGAAGAAAAAAGCATCATTTTCTAATGAGTGTTGAATTAAACTTCCCTAACTAAGATTCTAACTCTTGAAATTTATTTATAATAGCTCAGTTTCTGCATGAATCCTCCATTTCAGCGTATAGATTTCTTGGTGGTCCTTTCTTTTCTTTTCTTTTCTTTTTTCTTTTTCATTATTTTTTTTTTTTTTTTTTTTTTTTTTGGGTTTTGGGTGTTGGAGGGTGTCCCCACCACCGTTGTGGGCGAGAGTATTCCCTTCGGATACCTGCTATCACCACCAAACCATGGGAATCAGGTACTGGATTTGTTGGTGTTGCATTTGTAGAAGGTCTATTTGTCCCCCACATAGTCACATGGCATGCTGCAACACCACTCCTACATTCTCTTTCTAACACATACCTATTTTATTTCTCTCTAATTTATCCCTTCAAATTAAACAACTCGTTCTCTCTCTATATGCTAAACCCATAACTTTTGATAATTAAATAAACTATACAAAAGTTCAATCATATGTGGGTATGTATAATCAGAACAAGATCATCCCAACTAAAGGTACATATAAATGCAAATCATGGAGGACTTGATGAGATTGGCTCATTGCAAAGTGCTGCCTCAGAGAATGCAAAAGGCTGCATCAATGAATAATCATGTTTTGGGGTTTGATTTTATATACTCCCTCCGTTCCATATTTGTTGTCCACTTTTGCTATTAGGACATTTTAAGTTTTAATATTACCAAGTTGTCCTTGTAAGTTTAAACTTTTAATATGTATATTAATATATTTTGAAAATTTTGAAAACTTAGAAGGGTAATTATGGAAGATAACATTTGTTTTGCTTTGACTTTACAAATGGGACAACTAATTTGGGACATCCCTAAAGGAAAGATGAACTACTAATGTGAGACGGAGGGAGTATATTTGAGTGTGTAAGTGAATTGAAACGAGAAACAAACATTATGAGGGTCGAATGTGAGGTTGTGAAATTAAACCAATGCAGCGGTCTGACTAACAAATCGAATTGTGTAAATATGCATAGGTGTTGGATTTGAGGGGGGAGAGAGAGAGGTCTTGCGCATAAGGTTAAATATATATGAGGGTGGTGTAAAGGATAGTTATAGGTAGAGAAAGAAAGAAGTGAGAAAGAGCGGTTGGAAGATAGATGGTGTTGTGGTGGGAAGTGTGAGGTGCAGTGGCAGGGGTGGTGGTGGTGGTGGTTTTGAATGTGGTGTGCAGTGGCAGGTGGTGGTGTGCAGTGCGGGTGGTTAGTTGTGGTTTTGGTAATTGGTGAAGAGAGAAAACAGTGAGGGAAAGTACGAGTGGGGAGATGAGAGAAGATGCTGTGTGATGTAGTTGTCTGCGGCAGTGGTGGGTGGTACTGGTGTTTGTTTGTTGTAGTGATTGATGAGGAAAGAAGCAGAAGGAAGAAAAAGGGGTAAAAAAGTTCATATGGTCATAAATGTCGTTTTGATATTTGAAATTGGCAAAAAAGGTGGCTGAAACACGTGGACTACAGCACTAACATTTTGTGCGCAAAACGTAAAGATTTCAATTAACACACCACAATAGGGGCTAAGCATAGTGGTTTGAGTTGCATGGGTCTCCATGTTTTAGGGCCTGACAGTATGGTCATGGGATAAAATATAAATTTTCCAAAGGTCAAAGAGAACTTTCTTATTTCGTGTACACGTACATACAACTACACAAGTTAAATGCACGAGAATAAGTTGTTCTCATTAATTCTGAGAGCTGAATTTGTGAAATATTCTTTAAGTAGGTACAGCTTCCTGATTTACTAATTAAGAAAGTAATCTTGAAATGAAATGTTTTTATATTGAATGGTTTGAATGATCACTGGGTTATGCAAGAAGACAGCAAAACTTAAGAACACAAAGAAAATGAAAATGAAAATGAAAAAGAGTTAAGAGTTCCAAAATATGCAGTCTTATAACTGATATCATTACCTTGGTTGGTGGACAACCATACAGATGTTCACCCCTTCAAGAGCTTCACGTCGAAGAGCTCTGAGAAGTAGCTGTGAAGATGAACTGTCCAAACCAGAAGTGGGTTCGTCTAAGATCAAAAGTGAAGGATCCATTACCAATTCCAGGCCAACATTTACTCGCTTCCTCTGGCCTCCAGAGATCCCTCGCTTCTCTACCGTTCCAACCAAGGAATCCCGCACTGCCTGCAGCCCCAAGGACTCAATAACTCTTTCAACAATGAGAACCTTATCCGGTTTTGGCAAGTCTGCAGATAGTCTTCAATAATTGGAGAAAGTTAAAAGAAGTCGATACTAGAAGTATCGGGGTAAAACAGTGCATTACATAGAACAGAATGTCAGAGACCAGAGAGCATGACATCAAAGAGGAAGACAAGCAAGAAAATTAATCTTAGCTAACGTCTTCATATAGTAACAACTGACCCTGAATGGCAGAAAGTTGCCGCAATCTATAGAGTGCAACTTTAAATGTTACAGAGCCTTAAAGTGTAATGACAATTGTGATTCTTAGCAAGAAATACTAAAGGAACGCATATTCCAATTTTTTATTTTTATTTTTGTTGAAAGATTAATAAGAGTTGAAGAGAGAAATTAAAACATGAAGAATACAAGAATATAACGTGGTTCAGCCACTAGGGCTTACATCCACAACATACTTGAGGCCTTAAATCACTCACATAATTATTCTCCAGGCTAACTGATGGGCTGCCTTGTACCTATAAGGATCTTCAATCCTAGGTGGTTGGTATAAGGTATAAACTGGTGTCAGGCAAATCCATTTGAAACTATAAGATGAAAAATGTAGAAACAATGCTTGTTTACATGATAAAAAATGTCCAATCAAATGAAAATGAAAAGAAGTTGCTTAGAACTGATGGGATATGTGTTGGGTACTTCGTGTAGAATTGGGTATGTGAGCAGCATTGGACTAATCTCATCCCATTATCTATAAGATTCCTGTTTCATAGAATTATTTATAGGAAAAGGAATGTTGGGATTTACTTTAGACATAAAGGACTATCGATTTTCTATAGATTGTGAGCCATAAAAAATCGTTCTACCTGATCCATCTGAGAAGCACGGACAATTCTAAGTCTCTAAGAAGGAATTGTGTCCATGTCAGAAATGTGTAGGGTAGCAACACTTCTTGGACACTTCTAGACACATGTTAAGCCCATCTTGGATGGGTTCACAATTTTAAAATAAAATTCTTAATTAAGGACACATGTCTGACACTTCTTGACCATATGGTAAAATATGACCAATGAATCTTGAACAATGGATATGACTTTCTTTAATCATTGGAAAAAATTACAATTACAAAAATGCTCAATTTATATTTATATAAAATGTATACAAAATTTGAAAATAGAAAAGATATATATATAAAAAATATATAAGCATGTTTTACTGAATGGGAAGTTCTATAAAACAGCTATTAGACTACTCATACTTTATGGAACAGAATGTTCGGTAACTAAGAAACAACATATGCATACTGTGAGTGTAGTGAAAATTTAAATGTTAGAATGGATGTGCGGCAAGACAAGAAAGGATAGAATTCAAGTAGTTTGGAAAAGGCTTTGTCAAGTTTAATTGAATTGAGTAGGATTTTGACTCAAAACAAAGAGAGTCAGATCGTCGGCTCTTTCTTTTCTAATAACACCGTCTTCTCCCCTGTTCATTGATTCTTTATTAAGGTATTCGTTCCATTCAACCAAGTTTTATATCTTGACTGGTTGTGTCACTTTCACATCTTGAGTCAGTCATCCATGAATCGTTAGCTTCAATATATATATATATATATATAATACATATATATAATTGACTCCATTTGATTAATACAATTATCATTCAAGAAATAAAACAGAACAATTCCCTTTATGGATGAATATATGCACCATATCCCCTTTAGAGTGAGGGTAGCGATAACATCTGTGAAGAACATGGAATGTCCCACCAACTCAAGTTGGCAATGTTGATCCTTCACACTTGATGGAGAACACCTATCCGCTATGAACAAGAAAGTAACTTGACTCGTATATACATAAGTAATTTAAATTTATTTAATTTAATACGAATATATGAAATTTTTGTTAATTTAATTGATTTACCATGGATATGGGTATTTTGGACAAATCATTTAAATCCATTCTATTCCAACTATTAAATAGCCTAACCGAACACTGGAATGGCAATGACCATTCCATTTTTGCAACATTCCAATTCTACCGTCAAACAACAAAATTGGGACAACCATTACATTCCCTTACTATTTTCTTTCCATTCCCTACTTCATCCTATTCTTGTTTACCAAAAGTAGCCTTATGTGAAATATTCCAAATGGTTGTTATCCACTGGCATGCGAATAATTGGGATAATAGATAAGAAACAGAATAACCACATTATTAGGGGGAAAATTGATGTGTTTACAAGAAGTAGCAGAACATATTCAGTGAACACATAAAGAAAATTTACAAAGTGAATAATTAAGGGAAAAATAATGAGCTAATGTCCCAAAGCTCAGTGACTAAATCATAACTCAAAGAACTTGTTAACCTATTGAAAAAGAAGATGAAGAAGACAAGCTGGTATTGATGCACATGAACCCGAAAAAAGCTCTTCCTATTTTATTAAATTCCACTCGACCATCAGTTTATTTTATACTTTTGAGGTAGGAATTTGACCAGATAACCAGCATAATGGTACTTAAAATTATTCATGCTTTGCTACTATATGAGCTTACTATTGGTTGACAAATGATGAATTTGAGTTGAAGGCATTAAAATAAATTGCAGTTTGGATATGCAACAGGACTCAATTTGACATACCTGCATCTTGCACTGAACCAGAGATTCTCCTCTACTGTCAAATTTCCATGCACAATATCATCCTGCGGCACAAAACCAGTTATTTTTTTATATGAGTGGATTGATTCCGTTTTCCCATTTACAAGAATTAATCCAGTCATTGTGCATCCAACTGCTTTTCCAGCCAGAGCAGAAAGAAAGGTTGTTTTTCCAGCCCCAGATGGACCCATGACAGCAGTAATGCGGCCAGGCTTTATTTTCCCAGTAACACACCTCAAAAGATGTTTATTTTTCCCCTTCAAAGTAAGGGTTAAGTTTCTGAAAGCAATCTCAATTGGAGGCCTTCTCCTGATTTCTGTATCAGTAGCCAATGAAATTACCCCTGAGAAGGTAAGGTTCTTGTTCTGCTGCTGCAGAGCTTTCTCTTTCTCAATTTGTGCATATGCATACTTGAAAATCTGGCTATGGGTATGCATTTGTTTTTCCTTTGGCATTTTCTTTTTAATATTTTTATCCCCCATCTCCAAGCTGAAACCTTCACTACCGTCAAATTCCACTTCAATTGCATGAATCGTCTTCATGAGGTCATTATTTTCCATATTCTTTCCTTCCAATGCAGCAGATGATTGCTGAGCTGAACTTGAAGTACTTGGGCACATTGGTGGATATAGATTATCATCTGTTTCAATTTTTGTTTGACTAAAAATCTTACTTTTCTCAGGACGTTTGACAGATTTTTTACGAGAAAATGTGCGAGATAGTTGAATTGCATGCTTCTTAGCAGCATCTTTAGCTGATTTCCACCTTTCACTTGCCTTTGCATTCTCCCTTGCACTTTTTGCTGCTGCTTCCCTGGATTTGGCGTATCTCCTTTCGCGTGTGGTAAGAACTTGGTCAGAACAGTTGTAAATAATGAGTAGTAGAGTACTTAAAGCAGCCTGCATTGACAATTGGAGGTTGTCAATATCTAGTAGCAAGGTTGCATGAGAAGAACTATGGAATACCTCGTGCAATGTTGGTACAGAAGATAAAAAGATTCACATTAGATATAATTTTAGGAGAACAAATAATTGATATCAAGAGATACACTAACATGTTTAAATCGGAAAATTCTAATGGAGTTATCAGAAACAATCACACAACAACAGGAATAATCTAGTACAATGCTACTACAACTATGAATTGTGGTGGTGTTGTGAAAAAGAATTAGTCAAAACCTATAGCACTTTTTTTTCTTTCAAATGAACAATTAAATCATAAGAAATTGTGAAGCACTGGAACCAGACAAGCCTATTATCAATTTAATGGTTTCAGGTATGAAGAACTCACTATAAGCATAATTCCATATGCATGAATATTTTGGGTTGCAGTGTTGGGATTGCATGAAGTCAGCTTGAAGCACCCTGCAAGATAAAATAAAAAGGTCAGACGCTCTATGGAGCCAGCAATGCAGGGATACGAGCTCAAAATCTAGACCGTAGGGAGATGAAGGATGAAAGTAGCAAGTGCATAGATAAAAAAATAAATTAAAAAAAAAAAAATCCGCCCCCCCCCCCCCCCCCCCCCCGCGCACCACCAAAAAAAAATGTATTTATTCCATATAGCATGCATTAACTCACACTTTAAAGGGAAACTTACGTTTCTCAGATGTGGAACCCGTCCTGCAGTAATGTCTGGAAAAGCAAGAGAAAACTAATAGCATTAAAATATGAAAATAAGGGCAGCAAGGAGTAATTGAGCATAACATAGCAAGTGCAAATTATTTGGATACAGATCAAATGCTAATGTATCCAGACTGTCTTATCAAAATAAGCTACAACAAATGAAGAAAGGATGCAACTAGCAAAATAATAGATAAATACTGGAACAGTTGGGATAAAGACCAATACCCACTACTGCAAGGAACCTTTTCGGTACTTGTTGGACAATATGATCCCGCAGAACAGAATACCTCACTACTACCACCAATATCTGCCCAAATGTTTGCTCCACCGCATGTATGATTTGGCTGTTCAGGAGGTAGCTGGTAAAAGTATCTGCAGTAACCTATCACTTAATATTTTGCACACACCATATGCCATAGAAACAAAGATAAAGCAAAATCCATAGCTAAGATCTGAACTTACGGCTCACAAACACCAGTACCATTGTTGAGCGTTGCAAGCGGGCAAAAGGAACCTAATGGACAAGCTTCAAAAACAAGATAACAAATGACATCGCAGAATATTATTAGACATTTTCTATCTCATCGAATATATCTTTTCAGTTTGATATAGAATGAACAACAGCTAGTAACCAAAAATCTTTAATAGAATCGTTCAGAGCATGACATTTGACTCTTTTCTCCTCCAGTAGCAATATGACATGTTAATCAGTAAACATATGTTACCTGGCCTGCTTGAGACAATTGCACTTGGATTATATTTTGGGCATAACTTCCAGAACCTGGGCGATAGCTTTCAAAATTTGATCTAGGATTAAACCTGTTTAAGTGCATGTCTTCTAAGCATACATCATACACCTAACAGACATGCTTGGTCAGGTGCCCAAGGCTGGCTGAGTTCAGATGGCATCGAAACATATGTTCCTGGGTTTGGTTGAGTTAGGGAGACACTTTTCGCTAAGAATTGGAGTAAATTAAAGTGGGGTTAACTTTTCTAGGTTAAGAATATTTTGGGCACATTGTCTCAGTTCTCAAAACACCCAGCTGTCTTTTGGAAGATGATTTTGTCACTTTCTAAGTTTCATGGATACTTGCACGTAGCAGGTTAGAAAACCTGGAGCCTTAATGGGCCAACCTTAAATCAACTTGGTAAAACTAAAAGTATTGAAAACATTAGTAATAATGAATATAGAGAAACTAGGTGAAACTATAGATATTATAGAGGAATTAAATTAATGACATACAATGAAGCTATGTGAATGGATAATCTAACAAATTTTTAAAAAAGAGAAATGTCATACAATGAAACTAACATGAAACTATGTGGATGGATAATCAAACAAAGATAAAGAAAATAAACTTCAATATTCGATAATCAAATTGAAATTATGCCAGGTAGATCCACTGTGGAGGCCATCTATTTAAGAAGATAATTGATAGAAGAGCGTAGAAATAAATAAAAGGACCTATAGATGGCTTTATAGACTTAGAGAAGGCATATGATAGAGTGTTAAGGGCTCTACAAAGAAAACAAGTCCCTATAAAACTTATAAATCTTATTGAGGATATGTATATTGAGACAAGGACTATTATTCATACTATAAACTGAGAGATTAGTAATTTCTCTGTAAAAGTATGATTACACCAAGACTTAATCTTAAGTTCATATTATTTACAGTACTTACAGATGAAATAGCGAAGGGTCACCTGGAAGACATTCTATGGTGCATGTTGTTTGTTGATGACATAGTTCTATTGGATACTTCTAAGGAAGCCTTAACAATAAAATTAGAAACAAGAGAAAATGTCTTAGAAGTATAAGCCTAAAAAATAGTAGGGATAAAACAGAATACATGCCATGTAAGCGTGATAAAGTAGTAGAGAATAACAATACAACTCTCACAATTTAAGAACAAAAGGGTTACTCAAAATAGCCAATTTCGATATTTAGGGTTCATAATACAACAAGGTGGAGAAATAAATATTGGTGTAGTAATATGGATTGGAGCCAGGTGGACAAAATGGAGACAAACTAGTGATATTCTATGTGACAAACGAATACCAAATAAGTTAAAGAAAAATCTCTAGGACGGTTATTAGGCTAGCTATATTATAAGGAGCGGAATGGTGGGTGTTAAAACTTATCCAAATAAAAAATAAATGTTAGGTGCTAAAAATAAATAAAAAATTGGATTTTGTGGCCGACCCAATTCATATGGGATAAAGGCAAGGACCCTGCCCTGGAGAAACTACATTCAAATTATCCATAACCAGCCCATAGAGGGCACACATAAGCACAAAACCATTTATTTGAACTGCTTTGGGAAGGATGGAGGATTGGGGTAAGACTTCACTAACTCCAGTAATACAGTCAACATGTTAAGAGCTCTATCCTTCAGCAGTTCAATCTAATTAGAATACTTAAATGGAAACTACATATGAATATAGTGCCAAGTAAATATTTTGTGTATGTCATACAAGTTCTTCAGAAGTTCTCAATGAGAAATTGGTTACGTTTGATATTAAGCTTTTTGCTGCTTCAGAGTTGACACTTGGTACTTTTGACAGTTTTCTTTCATTTTATCTTCACATTAGTTCGGGACCAGATGATAATATATCTTAGCTTTAAGGCTGCAACTCTTTGATCATTCATAGGGGACAAAACACCTTAACAATGATTTAAAATGATTTTTCCAGAGAACAAAGAAGAAAAACATTAATGGCTCGAAGAGTTAACAAAGATGAAATTAAACACATAATCAGTACCTTCCAGTCATTGAAAGAAACAGAATTTGAAGGTTTTTCAAATACTTACGTATCATGCAAGTAAGTCCACGAGGGCAAAAGAAACCCTCACAACAAGCTTGGCAATCAAGAGTTCTAGCAGGTGTGTCCCGTGAATTTTTCAGGTCAACCTCCTGATTTGGGCCAATACTACATGCCCATCCTGGCTCACAACCAGAAACCGACGATGTTAAGTTACAATTCTTGTTAGGTTTTAGGTAATTGGCACTGTGCTCTTCAAATAAATTACTGAAGTAAAATTTTGCCTCCGCTGCTGTACACAAGCGTCGTGTGATATCTCCTGTTGATAAAATTGAAACCATAATGAGACACGAGAGGATAGATAATATAAGAGAATATACTTTATGAGGCAAACTTGGCTATAATATACTTTATGAGACAAACTTGGCATAAAAAGTGAACATAAGTGGTTTGAAACGATGTGAAACTACTTAGCAAAAAAATATAGGTATTGTCACAAGACAAGAATGAAGCAAGACATTTCATAAGAAAAAATGTTTTTAGCATTTAGATCTTCCATCTTATCACTTTCCATAAGGTACTGCTCATGGCCTCACTGGTGTAATCAAAGAAATCACTGCATAAGAAAAGAGTACAATGGTAGCTCCACGAGCAACTTGTGCATTATGTGGAACAAAAAAATATGGGTATATTAACATTCCCATAACAGCATTAAAATGAAGAAATTACAGGATCAATTGCAATAATTTTAAAGTGAAACCCTCTAGATTTGAATGGCTTTGACTAAGTGGTAGCAAAAATCCAATTCAATTTACCAGACACAGCATAACTGGTACCTCAAGTTTTATATCATTAAACCCTGTTATTCCCCATCAATGCTGATCCATCAAGATAGTCATTTCAGACCAAGAAAAAGCACGATTTCACTTAATCACCTTTGATCAATAGGATAAAGGTAGCAAACTAAAAGAAAATGAAATTCAAAACCATGCTTTAAGCAGTTATTCAATACATATATATATATATATATATATATGGCTGAATTAAGCTAAAAACAACACTGGCAACGTGTTATTGAGGGAATAGTTTCCTCAAACCCCAAACAAGTCAATTTAAAAGCCAAAATTGCAAAAAAAAAATTCTTTTCTTTTACTACATTATACCTTTAGTTTTCTGAATGCAAGAAGTCAAGAAGTCCAAATTAGAAGAGAAATTGAAGGCACGATCCCAATCAGCTTCCCTGAAGTACAAAATAAACTTCAAAACATCGAATTCATACTCATCCCAACATTACAAACATCAAAGGAACACTAATCCTCCGTTCGGCTGCCGAAATAAAAAATAAATAAACTCAAACTCTACTTGAAAAAGAATTCACAATTGCAATTTCTCTTCCGAAATTTTCCTGCAGTTTCCCGGCAACCAAACAGAGACTACAAGAGATATGAACAACTCACGGATCCTTAACGCAAAATCTGGAGCGATTGCTGATTTCGCCGGTGATAATGGATTTGGTGACGTTCGATAGCTGAGCATAGACATGCTGTGTGAGGTACTGAAGAACCGCAGGGTTGTCGGTTTGACTATAGTCGCTGTCGTCCACGACTTGGCACTGTACGAACTGTAACAATGTCAATACAACAATGGCGTATATATATACCCTCATATTGAGAGCAGAGAAAATCAGAGTAATTGAGTCAGTGCGAGTTCAATGGAGATGACATGAGAGGGATTGAAATCGGAGGAGGTCGAATGTATAGTGAACTGGGAAGGAAAGAAAGAGAGGGAAGATGATGGAAAGGAAAAAAAGCCAGCAGATGTTGTGTGGGACCCGCAAAGGAGCAGGCCACGTCCTAACGACTTGCCGGCACGGAGACAAGGCTTTGTTTGTGTTAGTATTTTGTCTTTTTTTTATTGTCAATCATTGGGGCCAGGTGTAGGGTCTCTGATTATGCCACGTCAGGGTATCATTTGTAGGTCCTTTATTACTACGTGCCATTTGGAGATCCATCGTAATGAGAGGAATTCCTTGAAATATTAATTATTGCAGCACCCATTAATATAGTGTGTATATTTTTAAGGATGTTCCAAACTTACCTATTTTTTTAAGATAAAATTACTCTTTAAATCTTAATCTTAATATAGAGTGTTCAATACAGTTGTCGTTCGCTTTTCTACTTTTTTGGCATTATAAAACTTCAACTTTGAGATCAAATTATCCTTTTAAATTAATTTGAGACCAAATTACCTTTTTAACTTTGGGACCAAATAACCTTTCTTCTTTCCTTTGTTACATATACTCAACTTTATTTTTTTTCTTTATTTCTTTTTTTTCTGATTGGATATATATGGCTATATTTCATTCTTTACTTCTTCTTTTTTTTTTTTTTTATATATATATATATATGTTCCACCTTGATGGATTTTTTATTTGATTTTATGTAATTTAATTGAAATAACAATATGAGATTGAGTTTTAATTTAAATAATATCATAAATTTTGAGTTTTAGTTGATATATAAAACAAGAGAAGTATGGTTTCTAATCTATTCACAGTATGGTTAACTACTATATATAGAGAGAGAGAGATAGAAAGTGAGAGAGAAAAAAAAAATTTGAAAAAAAAAAAAGAAAAAAAAAAGGAAAGAAGCAATCAATTCACATAAAAAAAAATTTTCCCTCTCTTTATCTACGCTACTCTTGTTTTAGTATTTCAGTATATATTTATTTATATAAAAAAATAGTAATTTTTTATGAATGCTACTCTTGATTTAGTATTTCAGTATATATTTATTTATATAAAAAAATAGTAATTTTTTATGAATAATTATCACAATGTAACCGACCCGCCCCAGTCATGATTATGTCATTATAAAGAAAGGACACATGTCATCATCCTATGAGAATTATAGAAATACAGAATTTCAGAATAAAATATTTAATTTTTGCCAAAGAGTTTCAGTATTTATTTATTTATATAAAAAAATATAAAGAAAAATTACAAATATAGATACATTAGGATATGATATGCTATTTTTATCAATGAAAATGGATTAGGAAGGTGATGAAATAAATTTTGTCATATTAAAAGTTTTTATAAAAATAGTTTCTATAAAACTCTAAAAATTACATAATAAAATCACAATAAAATATTTATTGATTGATATAAAAATAATAATTATTTTTTATGGATAATTATCCCAATGTCGTCGCAATTATGATTATGTCATTATCAGGAAAAGACACGTGTTGTCATCCTATTAATCCAAAAAGCTTGTAAATAAATGTATGGAAGAATGAGGAAGGGGTACATAAATTGAGAATTCTAAAAATTCAGAATTTCAGAATAAAATACAAAAACTCTGTCAAAGAGTTTCAACATATATATTTATTTATAAAAAAAATATTTATTAATTGATATAAAAAGAGTTTTTATATGTACAATTATTAAATGTGCAAAGAGTTTCAGTATTTTTTTATATAAAAAAATATTTATTAATTGATATGAAAAGAGTTATTATAGAGAAAAAAAAAAAAAAAAAAAAAAACTGTAAAGTCTAACTAATAAAATTTAAATTGACCTATTTATCTATTTAGTATTATGAATTTTTTAATAAAAGAAAATCTAATTACAAAAGAATTATTAATATAAAAAATATTTATTAATTAATATATAAAATAAAATAAATTTTATAAAACTCTACCACAAATTAGCTTTTATTATGAGTTTCTTCATAAAATTAAATCTAATTAGACAAGGGTATATTTATAAAAAAATAAAATAATTTATATAAAACTCTATCACAAATTACCTATTTTATTTTTAATAAAACTCTATCACACTAGACAAAGATATATTTAAAGAGTTTCTATAAAACTCTAACACAAATTACATATTTACCTATTTATTATGAGTTTTTAATAAAATAAAATTTAATTAGACAAGCATATTACTAATATAAAAAATTATTTATTAATTGATATAAAAAGATATTATAAAAGAGTTTTTATAAAACCCTAACACAAATTATCTATTTATCTATTTATTATGAGTTTTTTAATAAAAGAAAATATAATTATACAAGAATTATTAATATAAAAATATTTATTAATTGATATAAAAAGAGTTCTTAAAAAGTTTCCATTAAACTCTAACACAAATTACCTGTTTATTTATTTACTATAAGTTTTTTAATAAAAGAAAATCTAATTAGACAAGAATTATTAATATAAAAAATATTTTTTAATTGATACAAAAAAACTAAAATAATTTTTCTAAAACTCTACCACAAATTACCTTTTATTATGAGTTTTTTTAAATAAAAGATAATCTAATTAGACAAAAATTATCAATATATAAATATATTTATTAAATCATTAAAAATAGTTTTTAAAATATTTTCTATAAAACTCTGACACATGTATTACCTATTTATCTATTTATTATGAGTTTTTTTAAGAAAAAAAAATATAATTAACCATGAATATATTTAAAGAAAATAAAATTTTTCTATAAAATCTACCACAAATTAGCTAACTCTAAAATTAACCTAATAAAATTCAAAATAACCTATTTATTTATTTATTAATATGAATTTTATAATAAAATAAAATCTAAATAGACACAAATTATTCATATAAAAAATATTTATTAGTTGATATATAAAATAAAATAAATTTTTCTAGAACTCTTCCAAAAATTAGCTTTTAGTGTGAGTTTCTTAATAAAATGAAATCTAATTAGACAATGATATATTTAAATAAAATAAAATAATTTCCATAAAACTTTATTACAAATTACCTATTTTTTCTAAAACTCCACCACAAATTAATTTTATTATGATTTTTTAATAAATGGAAATATAATTAAACAAGTATTATTAATATAAAAATATATTTATTAATTGATATAAAAAGAGGTTTTTAAATAGTTTTATAAAACTTTAACACAAATTACCTATTTATCTATTTATTATGAATTTTTTAATAAAAGAATATTTAATTAGACAAAATTTATTAATATAAAAAGATTTATTAATTAATATAAAAAGAGTTTTTATTAAACTCTAACACAAATTATCTATTTATTTATTTATTATAAAATATTTATTAATTGATATAAAAAGATTTTTATAAAAATAGTTTCTATAAAACTCTAAAAATTACTTAATAAAATCAATCACAATAAAATATTTATTAATTGATATAAAAATAATAGTTATTTTTTATAGATAATTATCGCAATATAACTGCCCAGCCCAGTTATGATTATGTCATTATCAGGAGAGGACACATATCATCATCTTATTAATCCAATAATCCTATAAATAGAGTTATGGATGAATGAGAAAGGGTTACAGAAATTAAGAATTATAGAAATTCAGAGTAAAATACTATAAAATACAGAAACTCTGTCAAAGAGTTTGAATTTTTATTTATATAAAAAAATATTTATTAATTGATATAAAAAGACTTTTTATATATGCTATTATTAAATGTGCAAAGAATTTAGATATTTCAGTAGTTATTTATTTATATAAAAAAATATTTATTAATTGATATGAAAAGATTTTTTTTAAAAAAAAATCTATAAAATTCTAAAATCTACCTAATAAAATTCAAATTTACCTCTTTATCTATTTATTATTATGAATTTTTTAGTAAAAAAATCAAATTAGACAATAATTATTAATATATAAAATATTTATTAATTGATATATATAAAATAAAATAATTTTTTTAAAACTTTACCACAAATTAGCTTTTATTACGAGTTTCTTAGGAAAATTAAATCTAATTAGACAATGATATATTTAAAGAAAATAAAATAATTTCTAAAAAACTCTATCACTAATTACTTATTTTATTTTCAATAAAACTGTATGAGCTTTTTAATAAAAGAAAATATAAGTAAAAAAATTATTAATATAAAAAATATTTAATAATTGATATAAAAATATTTAATAATTGATATAAAAAATAAAATAATTTTTCTAAAACTCTACCACAAATTACCTTTTATTATGAGTTTTTTGAATAAAATAAAATCTAATTAGATAAGGATATATATTTTTAAAGAAAATAAATAATTTATATAAAATTCTATCACGAATTACCTATTTTATTTTCAATAAAACTCTATCACATTAGATAAGGATATATTTAAAGAGTTTCTGTAAAACTCTAACACAAATTACCTAAATTATACTACAAATTAACTATTTTATTTTCTTTAAAACTTTATCACATATAACCTGTATTTATCTATTTATTATGAGTTTATTATTAAAAGGAAATCTAATTATAAAATGATATATTTAATGAAAATAAAATAATTTCTATAAAACTCAATCACAAATTACTTATTTTATTTTCAATAAAACTCTATCACACTATAACTATTTTAGTATTAATATAAAAACTTAGAATAATTTATTACTTTACAAAACTCAAACTCTACCACCAATTTCAAAATATTTCGGTATTTATTTATTAATATAAAAAAATATTTATTAATTAATATAAAAAGAGTTACAAAAAATTGCAAATTTTTATAAGGTTTATTGTTACAAGCTTCAAATCAACAATTAGAAGAAAAAAATATGAAAACAAAAATTGTATAAGTTACAAAACATTCACCTTTTCCTAGTATATATATGTGTGTGTGTGTGAGAGAGTCATGCTAAATAAAAACTTACTAATTTGAATTTATGTGGTTATTTACTTGGATAGGCATTTGTTAGTGATTTATCTTATTTTCAAAAATAAAAATAAGGAGAGAAGTTTAAAAAAAAAAAAATTTGCAAAGTTT